CCCAGGGGTTATGGGAGCCTCCTGGGAGCTTCTTGGAGGCGCCCTGGGGCCCCCTGGGGGCCTGGGGGCCCCTTCGGGGCCTCCTGGAAGCCTCCTGGGGCCTCCTGGCGCAGCGGAGCCCTCGCGAGCGCCAGCGGCAGCGGTGAACACAGCGCTCGATCTGTCGCCGCCCCGGGCGTCTGCCCCCCCCGCCCCGTCGCGCAGAGATCAAAGCGACACTGGTGCTGGCGTCGCTCACTGACGCGACGGCGCACTCTGGAAAAGAGGTCGGCGTGCGCAGAGACGAACGCGGGTGGAATCCTGGATCCCGGACGAGCCTCTGCCCTCAGTCTTCCTCCCACCACAAACACCACGTCTCCCCCACTCCTATCCTCCGCCACCTTCGGGACCGCCCTCAAGATCACTCCCCGCGCCCGGGTTCCCGTGGGGCGGCGGAAGCGCCGCGGAGGCCCGCCGCGAGAGGCGCCCGAGAGGGCGCGGCCGGCGACGAGCGAGGGGAGAGCAGAGTGGAGAGCGGGGAAAGGGAGGGCGAGGAGGCGGCATCCCGCGGGCTGATGCCATAAAACATGGGATCTCAGCCTGAGCTAAAAGCGACACTGGTGCTGGCGTCGCTCACTGACGCAACGGCGCACTCTGGAAAAGAGGTCGGACGTAATGCGCAGAGACCGAGGTGCGGGTGGTGGGAATAATCCTGGATCCTAGCTGAGCCTCTGCCCCTCAGTCTTAATCCCCCACAAAACACCACTTCTCCCCACTCCTATATCCTCCGCCACCTTCGCGACCGCCCTCAAGATCCACTCCCCGCGCACGGGTTTCCCGTGGGGCGGCGGAAGCGCGCAATGGCCCGCCACGAGAGGCGCCGACGAGGGCGCGGCCGGCGAACGAGCGAGGGGGGGAGAGTGGAGAGCGGGGAAAGGAGAGAGCGAGCAGGCGGCATCCGCGGGCTGATGTACATAAAACATGGGATCTCCAGCCTGAGCTAAAAAGCGACACTGGTGTGCGTCGCTCACTGACGCAACGGCACGCTCCGGAAGAGGTCGGCTCGTGCGCAGAGACGAGGGCGGGTGGAATCCTGGATCCTTGACGAGCCTCTGCCCTCAGTCTTACTCCCACCACAAACACCACGTCTCCCCCACTCCTATCCTCCGCCACCTTCGGGACCGCCCTCAAGATCACTCCCCGCGCCCGGGTTCCCGTGGGGCGGCGGAAGCGCCGCAGAGGCCCGCCGCGAGAGGCGCCCGAGAGGGCGCGGCCGGCGACGAGCGAGGGGAGAGCAGAGTGGAGAGCGGGGAAAGGGAGGGCGAGGAGGCGGCATCCCGCGGGCTGTTGTAAAGCCATGGGATTCAGGCCTGAGCCGAGAGTAGCGATCCCACTGGTGCTGGCGCTGGCGGTCGCTCACTGCGTTGGGGTGCACTCTGAAAAAGGAGGTCGGCGGTTGGCAGAGGACGAACGGGGTGGAATCCTGGATCCCGGACGAGCCTCTGCCCTCAGTCTTCCTCCCACCACAAACACCACGTCTCCCCCACTCCTATCCTCCGCCACCTTCGGGACCGCCCTCAAGATCACTCCCCGCGCCCGGGTTCCCGTGGGGCGGCGGAAGCGCCGCGGAGGCCCGCCGCGAGAGGCGCCCGAGAGGGCGCGGCCGGCGACGAGCGAGGGGAGAGCAGAGTGGAGAGCGGGGAAAGGGAGGGCGAGGAGGCGGCATCCCGCGGGCTGATGTCTTAAAACATGGGATCTCAGCCCGAGCTAAAAGCGACACTGGTGCTGGCGTCGTTCGCACAGAGCCGGAAGCGGGTCGAATTCAGGAGCCCCGCCAAGGAGGTGCGCCTCGCGCGGTCTGGCCTCACGACTCAGGAAGCGTGACCTCAGCCCGAGCGGAAACCGGCAGTCGGTCCTGGGGCCGCTCACCACCGCAACGGTGCACTCTCGCAAAGAGGTCGGTGCGTGCGCAGCGATCTGGGCACCTGCGAAGATCCGTCGCCTCATCCGCACACGTGCCCTCCCGCTATGCCATGCCAGCTTCCCTCTGAGATGCGGTACGCCCAGGATTGTGTCGGGTTCTCCTTGGCGCACTTCAAGCACTGCGTGAGTTTCCCTGAGCACCTGTTCTGCGCAAGGCCAAGCACTGCGCAACTGCTGGAAGGGTCACTCCCCCCGTCATTCTTACAACAATGCCCACCACTAGCCACGGCTCCCGTGGCACGGAAATGATATGAACAATACTGGTAACCGCAATCTGGACACTCATTGACACGGACTTTTCCGTCGGTGGAAGTGCAATTGATCCTTGCTGGTTTGTTTACTCAGCACTGGCCACTTGTTGCAGCGCCGCCCACATCAGCGAAGCCCTTCACGGCGACCACCCCTGCTTCGGCCACGTTCTTATAATCCACGGCTGCGGCTGCGGCTGCAGCCATTGCTTCTGCGGCCAACGAGCTGCTGGTACAATTGCGTGAGATTTCGACAACGATGAACTCGAACTGAAACCTTCAATCTGTAAACGAAAAATGGCTTGAGCCTACTTGGCTACGGATTCCTGGGAGGGAGGCCTCTCGAGGGCCTCTAGGGTGTTTTTGTTTGCATCTTGTGAGCTTTCGGGGGGCATCTTGGGGTCTCTTGGGGGCGATATTCAGGCGTCAGCAACATATAGGAGATGAAGAGGCGAGAAATCAAAATCAGAGATTTCCCTTCCGGCTTTTGACAGGTTCTGGCTTCTCCCGGAGGCGTCCTGGAGGGTCTCTCGGAGCTCTCTGGGGCTGCCTTGAGCGTCTCGGGAAGCGTCTTGAGTCTCCAAAGGCCTCCTAGATGGGTCCGGGTAGATGGGGTCGGAGGATCTCGCCGCATCGCCGATACATCGCCGATACATCGGCGATGCATCGGCGATGCACTGGCGATGCACTGGCGATGCATCAGCGACGTCTGGAAAAAAGTGGCCCCCACATCAAGCCGCATCGGCGATGCATCGCCGAAGCATCGGCGATGCGGCACGACCCTCAGACCCCAGCTGCTCTGACCCCACCTGGGAGGCCCACGAGCCTCTCGTCGACCGTCAGAAACCCCTGGAGGCCGTCGTGGGGGTGGCTCGGGGCTGCCTCGGGCGGCCCAGACGGCTCGCTGGTGGCCCTCCGGGGTGACCGAAATGCGCGCTGCAGGGCCCCGGCACGCCCGGCACACACAAATGCGGTCGAAGTCGCGGGCCCCGGGGCTCCCGGGCCCGGTGCGCAGCAAGAACGTACCAACACAGATTGATGCTACATCGTGCTCTATATATCGTGTCATCGCGCTCCTCAGCCTGACTGTTTGGCTGTCTGTTGCTGGCGCTTGTGCCCCTAAAGCCCATTTGTAGCCGGCCGTGCAAGAGCGACAAGTACTAGGAGAAATTCAAGACGATAAGGGATGACAAAACCAACCCAAGCGGAAACCCAAACATGTACAAAAGAAAAACATGGTGAGCATCAAAATGCTCACCCCGAATCGTACACCCTGAGAGGCAAACAAGGAGAGGCTGGCCATCCAGAGGGCCCTGGAATTCATGAAGAAGCAGGCCGTCAACAACGTCATGCGAAGGCTGCCCGAGACGCCGTGGCCCCCTCGAGAAACCGCTCGCCGACGTCCGCCGCCAGGCGGGGAGAACCACGACCTGGGGGATGAAACTGGTACATCACGTCCAGTTCATCCAGTGATGGTGTTCCATGTCTTCGAGATATGTATGAAACATAAAGAATCGAACTCTATACACCGACGCTTCTTCCGGAACTGCACTGACATTTGCATCGGAAAACGATTTCTGGAGTATACGGGATCCTGGTATGTATATTTTTCGCTGTTCCACCAGGAAAACGGGGAAGAAAGTATACACCACATCACCCCGACGTGGTCCCCGACCCTCAAAAAAGTCCAGGATTGAAAAAAACGCCCGCCACTGGTAATGTGTACGTTCCAGCTTCCGAGAAAAAGGTCAGTAAGAACCGTTAACGCATGTTGCCTGGTGCTCCCAAGGAGGCGCAGCATCCAGCACTGCTGGGTCAAGCACGCCGTCCCGATCGGGGAGCACGCCTTGCAGAGGGCCTGCGACGCCCTGGCCCAAAAAGCACGAGCTACCGCCTCGCCGCAAACCGTGTAAGAAATACATTGCTAAAGAAAGCGACGTGCTTCGAGAGCTGCATAACCACAATAAAATCAATTGGACGGTCAACCAAAACCCGTCCTTCAAGTGAACAAAAAGTCCGCCAAGGTCAACGCCGACCTCGGCAACTCCCTGCAGAACCACGCTACGCTGGACAAAGAGCTGCGCGTGTGCAAGAACTGGTGGGGCAAGCAGTGAGCAGGTCCGCCAGAATCAACGATGTTGCACGCACACCACGAACAAAAAAACACGTGTCATAACACCTTATGCCAAGGTGCAACGTCTTCCGAATGAAAAAGAAGAGGGCGTAGACGCTGAAACTCACGGGGCACTAATTTCGAGCGGATGCATCGACCCTTCCGTGACAGCCACAGGAGTGGCCTCATAAGGCCACGTGTTTTACGTATACTCCTATTGAGTGGGCCTTTTCCTAGAGCGCGAATAGTTTGTGCTTTACGTATGCGTGTATAGATGGTAAGGCAGAATCGCCGAATGTGTCATACACGAGTAGTGTCGCCTTGCCTGTGAGCGGCCAAGGAACCGTACTATCCAGAAGCTTCCTGTCAGAAGGGAGAAATACAGACTCACGGGCAACAGAAGACAATGAGCGGCAGAACTGCTTGCTAAAACAGAAGAATTTGGTTCATCCTGGGCCGCGAGCCGTGTCTCTGTACAAGGGGGAAATTGTTCCTGATGGTGTATTTCAACACCAGGATGCGACCGACTGGTTCTATATCAATTTAACACGCTGAGCAAACGTAAGATTATCTGAAATGAACCAAAGAAGATCTCTGCTGCCCACGGCAAAGTTGATAACATAGAAGAGCGGGGGAGAGACGCAATCCATGGATGATCTTTTCGGTGCTACAAGCAGTGGACCGAGACGCCGCCCATTCGGCGGGAAAAAAAGGTTATGGAACACGGTCGTGCTTTCCAGCTTGGGTTTGTCACAAAGAAGGAAGATCGGCTGGCTGCTTGCGGGGAAGCCTGCCGCAAGCCGTTTTGATTGTATATCTTTGTGGATCTATGGATGCGGCCCGAAAACAAGTGTAGCTTGAGACCAACAGCACCCAGAGTGTCACATTTGGTTTGCTTGTGCAGGCGTACGTGCATCGCGGCGCATGTCTTCATTGTCATGTATTCGAGATTGTTCACGTGCCTCCAGAACAAGCGTCAGGACATCTGACTACGGCCATAATGATAGCACCATGCTAATGAAAATCCGCCATCGTGCCTTTGGGCACGCAGTGGCACAGGTCCTTTGCCTCATGTCTTGGGGCATGGAGCCCAAATCGCCGAATCTCCCAAGGCTTGGCGCGTGTCCCCCGGGTGTCCCAGCGGATTGTCGCGTGACTTTTTTCGGGTCCAAGAGGGCCCCAGGATGGAACAAGAGGGCCCCAAGAGGCCCCCAAGACGGTCTAAGAGGGACCCAGGGCGCCCAATGATCGCTCCAAGACGCCTAAGATGGTACCAAGACGGCCCAAAGAGGCCTCCGAGACGCCCCAAGGGAGCCACAAGAGCCTTCCCAACAGGGCCCCGAGAAGCCAAAATCATTAGTTGTCCATACGTGTTCTTATGATGTTGGAGTCCTCCTCTTTTCGAGTTCCCGACGCTCCAAGACGGCCCAAAAGGCCCATAGGACCGCCCCGAGACGGCCCAAGGGCCCCATAAGGGCTCCAAGACGGCCCCAGCGGCGCCCAAGGGGATCCGCTTGCAAGACTTTAGACTAGGATCCTGGTGCAGGACTTACACACTCGTCCTTAGTGCGCGGGTGACACAAGAATCCTTTCGTGGGGAATTCCCACCGGATTCCGTGTGCTGGAGATTATTCCGGATGAGCGCATTCCAAATGGAATCCTTGTTGTGCGGCTTTGCAATCGGATTTCGTTTGGGGGTGTCTTACAAAATCGAGCCCTGAGTTTCGGTTTAAACATCATTACCGTGAACAGCAGCAAGAAGACAAACAAACAGATAACACGACCAAACAGAATGACAACGACACATCACGATCAAACCAACAAAAACATAAACACGAGAAGAGGCAACGCAATCAAAGAGCAGAAACGAATGGCGCATCCAGAAGTGAGGTCACCCCGCAAGAGGCAAAGGAGAGGCCTCCTCATTATCATCACCTTCATCATCAGCATCAGTATCATCATCATCATCATCAGCAGCAGCATCAACAGCAGCAGCATCAACAGCAGCAGCAATAATATTACCATGATCCTCCTCATCCCCATCCTCATCATTATCCTCCTCATCAGTCTCATCATCGTCATCCTCATCCTCATCCTCATCAACCTTATCATCATTATCAGCATCATCATTATTATCAGCATCCTCAGCATCAGCATCATCATCCTGCACCTCTTTTCCTTCTAACAAACTCCTCCCTGTCGCATCCTCAGACGTGCTAGTAAAGCGGGCCCGGCGTTTCGCCTGCTTCTTCCTCGCCATCAATGATCCTGAGGCTTGAAAGCTTTGCAACAGTTACACGGACGACGGGGTGAGCAAAATGTGAATCTCGCCTCAGCGCGGCGCACGTTCGTCTCGAACGTTTGCGACAACTTCATGGACGGAGGGTGGACAATTTTCAAGATGGGGCTCTCGCTTCGCGCCGCGCACATTCGCCGGAAAGTTTACAACATGTTCGAGGATGGGCATCGAGTACTTTTCAAAAATAAGGCTCTCCGCTTCCCGCCACGCACAATATTCTTACAAGTTTGCAGCAGATTCCAGGATGGAGGGCACTCTTTTTCAAAATGGGATTATCGCCACATTGCCGCGCTCATCTGTCATAAGCACTCGCAACAGCTTCACGGATGGAGGGCGGTGCCTTTTCCAAATGGGGCTCTCGCCTTAGCGCCGTGGCCAGCAGTTTTACACGGCTTGACGGCTCCTTCTCAGACTCAGAATTTCGCATGGGAGCTCTCCGAACCAGGGACCAGAGACCTGATCAGATGCATCGGCTGCACGGATGGAGGTGGCTCCTTTTCAAAGTGGGGCGCTCGCCTCTGCGCCACGTCCTCTCGTCTGGAAAAGCTTGACGTGTCCCTTTCAAACCTGAGTTGTCGCATGAGACGTCGCTAGACTCTACGACCCGAAGCCATTTTGGTATGTATCAGCTGCACGGATGGACAGCGCTTCCTTTCCAAAATGGGGCTCTCGCCGGGGACCTCCTCGAAGGCCATGACCAGAAATGTAAACTGCGCAACACTTACACCGATGGGGGGCGGTGGATTTTTCGAGACTGGGACACAACTGGGCACCCTGTGAGCTCTACTAGTACGATCTTACAGTTTCGCACTCGTACAAGGCACTTCCTTTCCAAAAAAGGGGCTCTCGCCGGAATGGCACGCCAGGCGTGCTGGTAGTTCAAGGGGACGCTTCTTACAGTGTAGTGGGAGGCTTGTAGGAGCTCATTGACGCGGGGATTCGGGGTGGGAGAGTGCATTGCAAGGGGATCTGCAGCGGTGAGTTGGGGATTTGCATTGACGCGGGACATTGAGCGGGAAATGGGGGAAAAAAGAGGCTATTTCAAGGGGAGTTTGGGCGGGAGAGTACATTAAAGAATCGTTGATGCATCTTGGGTATACTCCGATCCTTCTCTTTCACCTGCTGCTCCCTCTTCTCATCTCTTTGTCCCCCACGTGTTCTTCCAAGGGTTTCCACAACGGCTCGGGGAAGGCAGCGCCCAATATCTTGGCAAGACTTCGGCCTGACGCTTGGCCACATGGGCATTTCAAAGAGGCAAGGGCGGCGCTGTTCGATACAATGACCCCTGATGTGATTGAACTTATGGGCAAGAAAAGCGCCTGAGGGTGTAACGGAACGGCCCGACGATGGACGCCATCTTCTGCACGCCCTGTGCGGAGCCCATGTGCCACGGCAGGCGCGATGTGCTGTCCTGAGTGGTCTGGTGCACTGAGTGTCTGGCAAAGCTGAACACCATCGTGACACTGCCAGGGGGACGTAAGACCTGGGTACAGGGGACTCGGAAATCCCCGACGAGGTCGTCAAAAAAATGACACGGCCGAGCCTGCATTTTGACGAGGCCTCCCGCTGCAGACATCCCACGAAACTCCTCCTCATCAAAATCCGAGGCGCGGTCGTCCTCAAACGATGGCGGGGCGAACCGAGTCCTGGCCAAACCCGGGTCTTACGCTCCCCCGGCCGAACTGAGTGTTCTGGCAAAGCCTGAACACCATCGTGCAGGTCTTGAACGAAGGGAGGACGAGGGGGGAGGGGCGAGGGCGCCGGGGGCGTCTGCCGCACTCCGAGAGGGGCCCGGGAGCGCCCTCCTGCGCCTGCGAGCAGCTCCGGGTTCGGCACACACGTCCTTGGGATGTGAGCGCCGCGAGCTCTGGCCTGACCACGAAGACGTTGGGTGGGGGGGGGACGTTGGTCTTAGGAGGGCGATCTCTTGGGCGCAGGATGCTCCGCGGAGCGCCCCCTGCGGCGTCCTCTGGGGAGCCCGAACAGCCTGTCTTGCCTCCGATTGGCCCACTCCAGAAACAGAAAACGCTGAGCTAGATTGTGTTGTTCCCATCCTACTTGAGGACCACATCCCAGAAATAATTTCGAGCACCTGGAAAAGTGTCAAAAGAGTGTCGAAAGAGTGTCGAAACAGTGTCGGGCGAGTGTCTCCCAGGGCCCGGCACGTGAAAACCCTTGAGTTTCGGTACTTTTTGGGGCGCTCGAAATTCTTCCTGGTGATCCAGGCGAAAGTAGGTTGGAGCATCGTAAAGCTGGAGAAAATGCCACCTCCCAGGAGAGATCCTTTCTTCGCCGGTTTCCGCAGTGGCCTTCCGCCGGCGGAGACCTCCCTCAGTTCAAGGCATCCCGCCGCCGCACGCCGAGGAAAAGCTAACAATTGTCGGAAGCCGGGCAAAGGCTGCGAAATCCGTGGCTGCTAAAATCGACCTCCGGGAAGTTGTCTTCGTCCTTCCGGGAAGAAGCCCGTTGACTGTTTCGCGCGCCGCGCCTCATTCCGGAAGTCTTTTCTCCTTCCGGGAGGGCCGTTTTAGCAGCCACGGTTTTAGCAGCTCTCGCCCAGCTTTCGAAATTGATCCATCCTTCGAGCGAGAGGCCTTTCTGGACGCCCACTGCGTCAGCACACGCTTCAGAAGAAATATCGCGCAACCTTCTGCCCCCCCTCTTCCCTCGCGATGACGGTCCCACCCGACGGGCGCGGCGGGCAACTCGCATGCGCGGCAGCATCGTGGCGGGGCCCCGGCAGCGGATGCGCTGGCCGAGGCTGCAGGCGAGGCGGGCGGTGAGGTGCGCACGCACCGCGGCGCGGGGAGCTGCAGCATTGGAGGCCTCTCAACTGGGGTCGGGGGATCGCTCCGCATCCCCGATACATCCTCGATGCATCGGCGACGCCTGCGCTGCATCGGCGCCGTCGGCATAGAGAAAATCGCAGGGTGTTCGCATTCAACCCGGAGATGTTACCGGCGCGGGTCAGCGCAGGTCAGCGCAGGTCAGCGCGGATCCGCGCAGATCAGCGCAGGTCAGCGCAGGTCACGCGCTCCTCAGAAGCGCTGGTCAGCGCAGGACAGCACAGGTCAGCGCGGGTCAGCGCAGGTCAGCGCAGGTCAACGGGGTCAGCGCAGGTCAGGCCAGTCAGCGCAGGTCAGCGCCGGTCAGCGCAGGTCAGCGCAGGTCAGGCCAGTCAGCGCAGGTCAGCGCAGGTCAGCGCAGGTCAGCGCAGCTCTGATTGTGCCCTGTCCTCCCTGCCGAGACCCGTGCCGTCCTTTCGGCGTCGTTCTGTGAGGACCTTGCGCTGACTGCGCTCCGACCTTGCGCTGATTGTGCTGCTGACCTGATCCACAGGGTCGCGGGGTTTCACAGAGGCCTACGAGAGTCACAGGCTTACTACTACTACTCCTTACTTACTACTAATACGGACTACTAACTACTTACACTACTACTACTACTTACTACGACTACTACTACTACTACTATACTCTACTACTACTACAACTTATACTACTACTACTACTGACTACTACTATCTTACTACTACTATATACTACTTATTACCTTACTATTACTCTATTTCTTTATTACTACTACTACTACTAACCTACTACTACTACTACTACTTACCTACTACTACTCCTACTACTTACTACTGTATGATACTGCTCTGCTTTACTGCTACTGCTATTGCTGTACGCTTACTACTACTACTACTACTACTACTACTACTACTACTACTACTACTACTACTACTACTACTACTACTACTACTTATACTACTACTACTACTACGACCAGTCCACTACTACTACTACCTACTACTACTACTACTACTACTACTACTACTACTACTACTACTACTACTACTACTACTACTACTACTACTACTACTACTACTACTACTACTACTACTACTACTACTACTACTACTACCTACTACTACTACTACTACTACTACTACTACTACTACTACTACTACTACTACTACTACTACTACTACTACTACTACTACTACTACTACTACTACTACTACTACTACTACTACTACTACTACTACTACTACTACTACTATTACCTACTACCTACTACTACTACTACTACTACTACTACTACTACTACTACTACTACTACTACTACTACTACTACTACTACTACTACTACTACTACTACTACTAGTACTACGATTATCGGTGCTACTGTGCCCCTGTTACTGCTGTTGCTACTGCTATTATTAGTACTAAAGCTATCATTATTTGTAGTGTTATGTTTGTTATCAGCACGAGTTGATTATTCCTAAAACTCACATGCCTACAACCCTCCCCGTGCGCTATCCGACCAATCCGGTGGTCTCCATCCTGATACAGTCGACGTCGTTCTCCTCGACATTGCCTCTCTCGTCGTCGGCAATGCGAATTGCGTATCAGGAAAACGACGTGGCGCACATCGCGCGCGGCCGCCGGGCAATCATACGCGGGGCCTCGCGGCCCCGGGGAGCGGAAACCGTCTGTGGTTCCCTCCGTGTATCCCGCGATCCTGGACACCGTCCTCCCGTCTCTTTCTGCGCTGCTATTTTGGCTCCGTGGCCAGCGCTGGCTCCGCCCCGCACGCCTCCGCCGGAGCGTGGTGCTTTCCGCGCCGTGGCAGCCCAGGGGCGGCCGTTCCGGTGCGCCTTCTCTTCATTATTATTTCCTCCTCCTCCTCCTCCTCCTCCTCCTCCTCCTCCTCCTCCTCCTCCTCCTCCTCCTCCTCCTCCTCCTCCTCCTCCTCCTCCTCCTCCTCCTCCTCCTCCTCCTCCTCCGCCAAGCTCCTTGGACGCGCCAAGGCGCCGCCGCTGCCGCGGGTTTTGCTCCAGCATGTCGTGCCCCTGCACGCCTCGGTCGCCCCCGTGCCGAGCCACTGAGTGGCCCGACACGCCAGAGCGGTGGGCCGACTGCCCATTGGAGGTCGCGTTGTCGCCTGTTCAGCCGGCGAGACCGCCAGGGCTCTGGTTAGTGTGGTGCGCGGGCAGCCGGCGCCGTGGTCCTGGTTGGTACTGGTGCCCGGCGCCTGGAGATCCTGGACGCGCTCCTGGCTGTGGCAATCAAGCCAGGAACGCTCGCCGTGCCGCTCAGCGCAGTCGCGCAGCGGCAGAGCCAGTACCACTCGGCAGGTCCAGGGCACGTACTTGGTAGGGAGCTCCGCTGGGGCGGAGCGCGCGGGAGCGGCGCGGAGGGGCCGCGCTGGATGCATCAATGCATCATCATACTGTTCCGCGCGGGGGCCGCGCGGGGTGCTGTCAAGCAGGAAGAACCGCCCGCGCGCGCGTCCACGCTTCCTTTTTGCATTCATTATCAGGGTTTACGCAAGCAGGTCCAGTGGATCTCATCGAATGTCCGCGGCGCCAAGGCAAGAGCCCTATACTGGTTTGTGAGGATGGCTTCCAGTGTTCGTCTGTAAATTCCGTCACCGTGCTTGGGTTGTGGGTCACAGTCCTCGCTCATGCTTCGGAGCGTCCTCGGGGTGGGAGCTTCTGGAGCTCTCTGAGGTTTCCTCGCCCCCGGGCGCTTTCCAGCAGCTGCGCCTCGCCGAGAGCGCTTTTGGGGTGCCCAAGCCGTCTCGAACCGCCGCCTGAGGCCCGAGTTGTGGCTTGAAAACCATTCGGAACTGAGGAAGTGGGGGAGACGGAGGAGGAGGAGGAGGAAGAGGAGAACCAGAGAGAACTCAGGATGCATCAGCGATGTTGCTATACACCCTTCCGTGCCATGTCCCTTCCCCGTAAGTCTATGCAAGCATTCTCTTTCACACCTGGACACGCGCCCTTGAAGGATTGGCGCTCCATTGGCCTGACAGGCGCCCCATGGGCCTGACGTTGATGACAAATCGCGCGCGCATTAATATTTTTTGAAAACCTATATGAGGGCTCGAACCGAGGCCGAAGAAGTCGAAAACGCACTGGTAAGCCAAGATATATGTTCCGCCTTAGGCGCTCCCATATCCCAGGCTTTGGCTCATACCGCATGAGCAAGAGAGCAAGATGAAGCATGGGATCTGGAGTAAAGGATAGAAGGGGCATCTTCAATAGAAAGGTCTTTTCCGATCTCAGATGCGAGTAGTGCGCCTCGGTGAGGCACAATCACATGTTCGGCCGGGCCCGGCTTGAGCCAGGCACGGCAGCGGTGCATGCTCGATTTACATCTCGCCTTTAACCCTCTCCGTTTAAAGTTGGAGGGGGAGGAGACGAGCAAGCACCGAATTTCTACATTACGCGGAAAAAACAGTGCTAGGCAACAGCGGCTGCCTACAAGGCAAGGGCGCGCGAGTAGCCTCGCTACCGGCGAGTTTCCTCGCTACTAAAGCGCACCTGCGCGCGGGTTTCCCCGCTAGCTCGGGAGGCAGGGCCGTCCTGAGACGACCTGCCCGCCCTATACGGAGTATGTTTCTTCAGCTCGTGCTTGAAGGATTGCTGACCGGCCATTACCTGTAGGAGCAACGCGCGGTCAATACTACCTTTGGTATGACCATCGGCAGTCATATCCCGCGTGTCACACCATTGGACGCTTTCAACGATTCCGCGCTCCATCATCTGGCGGATCCAGCTGATGTGCCCAAGCAGAGTGCATTCTGCGGGCTTCTTCAGATCTTTGCTAGACAAAGACTTGAAGACAGACTCGGCATCAATAGTCAGAGTGACTTTGATACATAGACCACCCAGTTCCAATATGTTCTTCACTGTGTGGGGGTCAATGGTCCCGAGTGTAGCTCGTGGAGCGTTACAATGGTCGGGTAGCAGTCTTCCAAGTTGTGGGCTGCTGCCAGTGTTTCCGCAGAGTAGCTCGAACGCACCTGCAGTCGATGAGACTTGCAGTATGCGTCCACCAGGTGCACGACGGGTTTCCCCGCTTGCGTGTGGCCACGCCTCAGCAGGTTAGCCCCGCGGATACCGTAGCCTTTGACTTCGTCGTCTTCATCTCCGTTGAGACGACGATAGCCAGAATCGCTATGCAGGTCGACCTCTCCTGTTGGAGTCATAGCTTGATACACGATCTTCTTCGGACCTGCCTGCAATTTCCTGGTAACCGCGTTCAGTCGTCGTACCTGGATGTTTGTCGGTTCCTGGATACGTTGTAGTGAGACAACATAGACCATCAGCCATACCTGCGTGATCAACGCATAGGCTAGAGCGCCACGAAGACTGACGAACATATCAGAAATCGTCTTTGTCGCTTTGCTCTCAGGATCAGCGCCTGTGAGCTCTGGATGTGTGATAGGACGAAGTTGTTTGATGTATTCGTCCTGATCAAGAGTGACGCTCCCATCATCGGTCTTGTTGTACCGAACGGCACAATTTGTGTATGTGTGCTTGTTCAGTTTGCACTTTCCAAACGTATCTTCAACACATTTGACGTACTTCTCAATGGAATCTTCCTTCCCAGTCATGTTGATGTCATCAACGTGTTTGGCTGTCAAGAGGCTTGAACTCATCTCGAACTCTTCATCGTATGAAGTAGGCTGTAGTCCAAAGCTCCTGGTGATGGACCCGAGCTTCAGCGAGAATGCCCTGGGAGCATCCTTCGTGCCAGTCCCCGGCTTGAGGCACCGAAGACAATGCTTTGATTCGTCATATGACTCAAAGCCTGGCAACGTGCGAAGGACAGCTGCTGACCCAGGAGGTAGTGCGAAGCACACCACACGCTCTTTCTCGCCAGTTGCCGCGGCGAGCTCGCCATAGGTCAGTCCCTTCAAGAAAGCCATGTTGATGTCCAGGGAAGCGATGATCCAAGCTTTGTTGCACGCAGCAGAACTTGCGAGCAATCTCTGGTTTGACCTCCTTGCCGTGCCAGAGAAGGTTTCGACATCGAAGGCTTCAATGTCCATGAAGCCACGAAGTACCAAGCGTAACCTGATCGTCCGTTCCATTTCGCCCTTCTCGTTCTTGACAAACTTCCATTTGTATACATAGCGTGAAGTCATGATGTTCGACGCTTTGCTCAAGTCAGTCATCTGGAAGCATTTGTTGTCAAGCCAAGTCTTCAATTCTGTGTAAAGGGCTTTGGAAACTTTGACCGGATTCGCTTGAATGTCGGCCTTCGTGAGTAGGTCGTCTTCTTTGACGACCACGGCACGTTTGGAGGCAGCACTAACATATACTCGCATAGTTGTGACGCTGCTGTCATCCAACAATCGGCGTTGCTGCTCGGACAGGACGACTTTGGACATGTCTGCTGTGAAGCAAAGCTCGATGTACTTCCCGTGCTCGTCGGAGTCCAGATCATAGTGGCTGTCCGGATCAGTGGAGCACAGAGGGACGTAGTAAGAGGTGTCCATGTCGTATCCTGGCGGGTGACCCCGCACCGGCAAGTGGCCTTGCACATCTTCACAGGTCGTAGAGACCAACACGCACTGTGAGTCTGTCATGTATGTCGGAACTGTGTGCATGACTTCTTCTGTGTCAGCTTCAAGGAGTGTTCTGTCATCCATCAGTTCAGCATACCATGACTCCAAGACAAAGACATCCAGATCCTCTTCTGTTTCCTCTATGATGGTCGGGAGCCGACCATCATTCGCCGCAGGAGGCTGCTCAGGAGCAGCTGCTGGAGGTGGCTCGCTTGGTGGTGAACCATCAGCGAGTTCCTCAAACTTAGTGAGGTCTCGGTCGAATCCAGCAAGCGGCTTCTTGGATTTAAGACACTGGATGATGCGTGAATGTGTAGACCCTGTGATGTCGTAGATGTTCAAGGCAGTGCCATCAGCTTCATAATAATGAAAGCCAGGGGTCACATCGTTATCATAGTGCACTAGTGTACAGCTGTCTGCATATGGTGCAGCAGGCAACTTAGTCAGGCTCTTAGCAAGTCGTACAGCAACCACGTTTTCAATGCGAAAATAGTTGCGAATGAGATATTGAAGAGCCAAGTGCACCTTAGGCGAAAGCCGGCTCGCAGCAGTCATCTGCAGTCGGCCCTGTTTCGCTGGTAGGTATCCGAAAGTCATAGCGGGTTTCCCCGCTGGCAGACCGGCAATAAAGGCCAATACTGTCCGAAGGGCCGTATTGTCCGATCCTATCTCGCGGACCATCAGTGCTTCGATGTACAGCGTATGTCGTGAGTCAGGATACTGTACTCGCACTTCGCGATTGCCGACCTTCACGATGACCTGGCCTCGGTCAGGTTCGTTGCGGATGACCGGGTATGGACCACTCCATCCACCCCAGTCGTCTTTCGTGGTGGTCGGGCGATGATAGTCCACGAGATCTCCCTCTTTGTAGTGAAATTCACCCGTAGCAGTAGTCTTCGTACGAAGAGCCCTGTTCGTCTTGGCAACCGCAGTGGCCTGCGTGATTGCCTCCAGACTAACCCTCCTGATTGTCTCTTCCTTTGAGTGATCTGATGATTCAGCGGACTGATCATGATCCAGGACAGGGAAATCGGGAAGCATAGCTGGTTGTCTGCCATACAGCGCATTATACGGAGACACTTCGTTGTAGAAGGTAAATGCGTTGCTGGCAAACAAGGCTTCATGTAAGAGACGAGTGAAATTCAGAGGGATGTTCAATCTATTCAGTTCTTCTCCCATCACGTGTATGAGGTGTCGCAGGATGCCGTTCCTAGCTTCGATAGTCGTGGCGTGCTGGCCACGCGCTCGGATACGAAGCTCTGTTCCCTTGGATTTAAGGATGGCCTTTGCTGTATCGTTATTCAGCGCTCCTTCCCCATCGGAGTATAGGATCTTAGCAGGGCCATGTTGCATCCAAGTTGTGTGATAGGCATCGAGAACAGCGTGCATAGTCTTATCAGGAATCTCTGTGCCAGCTGCCCAGCGAATACAACGGTCGATGATGTGAAAGACAATGTGTTCCTGTTTGTAAAAGAAAAGATCACATTCGACTTCCTCGTTGAAACGTCCTGGCAGTGACACAGAAGGCATCACCGTGTTGCCTGGTTTCTCCCAGGCACGACATTCTCTACACGAGTCGCAAATGCCTTTGATCAGACTCAAACGGGTTTCACCCAGACCAACCTTAGCTAGAATCATCCGCATCTTTGGTTCGTTGGCATGAAACCATCTCAAGTGAAGCTTGCGGAGTTCTCGCTGCACTACAGCTGGGTCAAAGCTGAGCAGGTTTTGAAGGCTGAGCTGAACGTCGAAGCGAGTCCAATCAGGAAGCCTTGGCCTTGGCCTCGGCTCTGCATGAGGCTGCGGCGGCGGTGGAGGATCACCTCCCTCCATGCGTCCGCGCCTCGCTGCCACTTGCGGCAGTCTGCGGTGATCGTCAGAGCTGCCAGCGCCAATGGTGTCACCATAAGCCCCCTTGGCCTTGGTGATGTCATGGCTGCTGGCGCCTGCGGTTGGATCGCCCTCACCAGGCCGTGGCGGCCTAGGCGCGCGTATGCGCGCTTTCGCGGCCGGCGCCGCGTTTGCGGCTGGAGCCGCTTCCGCGGCTGGCGCCGCAGGAGCGGCTTGCCCCGCTGGGCGCGGCTGACCAAAGTTATCTGGCAGCTTCCATTTTTCGGCGAATCTGCATTGGCCAGATATCTTGGCATGGTGAGGATTGCTCTTCTGATATTCCTTCTTACAGCTTGGACAGTCCCAATAGTATGGTTCAACATCATACCATCGACACATCTTCGGATTCCTGCTGTGCCTTGGTGATTGTTTGTAGTTGTTGTCTGCACAGCCAGGGCACCCGAGACCGCCAGATGGTGGTCGCAGGATTTCTCCGTTTGAGTGTCTCTGGATTGTTGGGTCGTCCAAGTCGTAGCCAGCACTGTTTGTTACGAACGCGTAACTGCGTTCGCGATTCGCAAATGGATCGCGACCGTAAGCAAACAGATCTTTGGCGATTTGCACCGCATCAACGATCAGTGACTGCATTCTGTAGGTATACTGTGCCGCCCTTGCTAGTTCTTTGTTGCAAGCATTGGCGTGCACATGATTACCTGGACAACGCTTGCCTCTGAAAGGTGCCAACAACTCTTCTTTGTTTGCCATCATTTGCGTTGGCTTGCGAATGTATTGTCCAAACGAATCTTTGAGACCAGTCGTGCATTGATCAATAATCGTTTGGCAAGTGACCTTGCGTTGTGCCAGTTCCTTCCATGGTTGGATCTCATCTACCCACGTGCCCATTGGTTGTTCCCTGAGAAAGAAACGTCTTAGGTCGTCTTGTAATAGAGCGACTGTTCCGCAGAACGTGATGTGAGGCAGGTCCTCTTTGTGGTGTTTAAGCCACGTATCATGATTGACCTGCGCATTGAAGTATGAAGGAAGTCCAGTAGTTCTGCAGCTTGGCTGCAAAATCGTGATCTTGACAAAGCAAGTCTTGAGGTAGTGAAGGACTGCTCTTTGTACTTCCGAGTTTCCAAGGTCAACCATAGATATCTTATCAAGGTTCCCGCCCGACGAGAGTCCCCTCTTGAAGGCTAATATGGATATACCACCCTTGCCCCCACATAATTCAAGCATGTCCACTTGATTGTTTCTGCCGTAGCATAGTGACTGGACCACCGAGAAGACATCAGCATGTGAGTCAGCGGGTTGCCCCGCCGGTAGCATCGCGAAGATGTCCTCTGATTCGCTGTCCGAGTCCGAGTCATCAAGAGGAACGTCGTTGAAATATGTGGAGCAGTCAAGCCCTTTGAGGCCCTCTCCACAATCGTCGTTACCGTCTTCCACTTTCTTCGGGATTTTCTTCGGTTCGATGCCAGCCTCTTTGTCAGCTTTCTGCTTTTCTTTCTGTTTTATCCTGGCATCAGTGGGCAGCGCGGTTTCCGCGGAGAGATCCGCTGCGGAAGGATCCGCTGTTAGATCAGGAAATGGCGGAATTTCAGAAAAGTTGGTGGGTCGCGTTTGGCAACGCTCAATCGAAGGGGGAGGAGACCGATCGTCATCGACGATCGTCACACGCTTTGGGCGTGGCCTTCGCGACTCACCGTCGCCGTGAAGGACTGGAGCCGGAGGCTCCCAGTACAACCGAGTACTGATGTTTGTAACCCCATCAGGTAATGGAGCTACATAATTGCACCCAGTCGGCTGATCCTGGATTTTGATATCTTGAACGATCTTATTCGTGTCCAGGTCGGTCGTGACTCTACGAACAACATGGTCCCATTGAGGGCCCTTTTGTGGACATTGAACGTAGTGTCTTACCTTTTTGTCAACGCGCGTACACACACTGAGGTGTACCGCGCTCCGCTCATTCCTAATCATGTTGGCTTTATTGAGTTGATCAAGGAAGCGTGCAGTGATGATAGCCAAGGTTTTATGCCGGAACTCGGCACGTTGCTGATCTTGGCCATACCAATCCAAATCATGTTCTCTGTGTGAGCCACAAGTACATCTCCATAAGTTTAGCGGTATATGAGGACAAGATGTAGCAACTTGTATATAAGAACCACTGGGATATTTACTGGAGCGATCAAACTTGATACCGAAATGACAAAGTCTCATTCGTATGATGCTAAGCTTCAAATCTTCGATAACATCTTTGATCGGACCCTGTTTCCAGAAATACCCGGGTGGCCCCACGATGACAATCTGCATTCTCAGAGCACGCGCTTTGATCAGGAGATTTTGTATACGTTGATAGTGGGGTCCCGCCCTCTTTCCTGGAGTACGAACGTACCAATCAGAGGGTGTGGCCACCCACAACATATTATAGTCTCCTGCCAACAAGTTTCCCAAATACTGTGATCCAGTTGAAGTCATTACCTCATTATGGGTAATCCGGTCACATATATAGCCACGGGTTCGGAGTTCAGCGCAAGCTGTGCGAATATCTTCGATGACGAGACATTTTGAATGATATTTTTCCTCTCGGGCCTCAGCGCGGCCAACGTATGTAGCGAGGAGGCCGGTATTCGGCTTCTCTTCGCAAGCGAGCGCCGCCGGCGCGCCCGCCTGCCCCCGTCAGCGGCTGTCGTGAGACCAAGTTGCCGCTTGACTCGGAGGCGTGCTGTTCGCGGATGGCTCCGCAGGAGTCGCTGGTGTGGCCACGCTCGCAGACAGACTCGGCGGGTTGTTCTCAGAGATGTCAAAGTATTCCGTCCGATCCGTAGCGTGACCCACGATCTCCGCTCTCTCACCTCGCTGGGTGATGGCTTCGAGAGTGCCCATCAGCTCGCGGTTCGTCATCCCGCGGACGTCCTCAGACGACAGCAGGCGGGTTGGCCCCGCAGAGTCCGACGAACCTCCGCCCGTGTAGCTTGGTGGTGGTGGCGGCGACGCGGGTGGCCCCGCTGGATGCAGAGGGGTAAACTCCTCAGGCGTCCATTTGCTCACCGCCTCCTGGACTGCCCAGAAGATCTTGGACTTCAGGGCGGCCTTCATGTGTGGCCGTATAATCGCCGCGTTCTCAGGAGGTGGGTGCCAAGTCCCTTCGGGACACTGTCGGCCCTCCCACCAGCTGTTCAGCGTCCTGTTCACGATCAAACGGGTCGTGTCCTCCAGGAGCTGCTTGTCGATATACGGCTCGACGGTGTACGTATCGGTCGTGAAGGTCGATGTCCAGCTGTTGGTAGATGTACGAACGAAGTCCTCGTGCCTATTCGGATTGGCGAACTGTCCCGTCGCGGGTGGCCCCGCTGACGCGTCAGCGGGTGGCCCCGCCGCAGCGGGTGGACCCGCACTGGCGGGGTCCTCTTCGTTCTCCGTCTCGGTGTAGCCATCTCGACTGCTGCGGATCGTGAAGGTGTTCGTGACCGTGTGGCTCTTGGCCCCATCGCACAGCCCGCAGGGAATCGCGAGATGTCCCGAGGGAGTCTTCTTCGCCTTCAGGACCTTGGCGCCTCTTCCCAGCTTCAGGGTGCAGTCGCCGCTGGGGAAGATGACCTTCTGGTAGCCCGGCTTCAACACGATGATCGTATCACGTGCCTCCATGGCCCCTAGGCCCCAGATAGCCGGGAGATTGGCGCCCGAGCCTTCTGCGATGTTGGAGGCATACTCCTCAATGCGGGGGCTCGCCTCGTTGGCGCACTGTACCCCGATCTTGAAGTTGCCCATCTTCCGACATATCGCAGCGCCCTCCCCAACACCATTGATGTAGAGGGTCTTGCTCAGGGTGCAGATGGCAGGTCGGTAGTTGAACCTGGCCATTATCTCCTGGAAGGTCCGCGCCGCGTTGGATCCAATGATGTTCACATTAGAACCAATGTCCAGCATGAACGAGATACAGGGCATACCATCTTCATCAGGAAAGAATGTCCCATTGCGCGCTGCAAGAGCGACCTGTACGCCAGTGTGGTCGTTGGTGTGGTACGTGATCTGCGATCCGAGTGTACCCCTCAACAGGCGCTGTTCAAGAACCCATTGAGTCATGGTCAGCTCGGTGCACCACATCTGCTCGTACTGGCGGCGCTCCTCCACAGTAATCGGTTCCTGCTGGAGGACCCAATAGTTTGCAGATAGCGTGGACATCCATTCGCCTCTTGGTGGCAGCGTGTCAGTATCGTCACGCACGTAGGTCAGCCCCTCTGTGTCGATCATGAATGTGGAATGGAACTGGGCTGCCTCTGCGCTCTCAGCGCTTGCCCGGCTTCTGGCGCTGACCAGTTGGCCTCCGAATCCCGCCTCCGCCCCTGCCACTCCGCCTGATGTTAGCCTCCATGTTCCTCAAGAAACCTGGGTTTGGAGGTCCGTTAGCGGGTGGCCCCGCTTGAGCGGCGGGAGCCGCTTCAGCGGGTGGCCCCGCAGCTGGGGGCTCTTGCGCTCGGAGCGTGGGCAAGACCGGCATCTGAATGCCTTGTTCTGGCGCTGGCCAGGGGTATGCCTGTGCAGCTGGGGCACGTGCGGATGGCTCCGCCGATCGTGCGGCTCGAGCCTCCAGTGCCTCCACTGCTTCGCGTAACCGACGCATCTCGCGGGCATCTGCAACGTACCTCTCCTGCTGGCGCGCTTGGTCCGACTCCGCATCGCGCTGTCCAGCATACGGGAAGTGTGCTATCACTACGCCCGGTCCACGGCATACGGCACAGGGGGCCTCATTCGGCGCACCTGGCCGCTGATTGCGGACATGCTGCTGCGCAACACGGTCCCAGCATATGTCGTGGAAGAAGTGCCCGCACGCCAGTCTCCACACTGTAGTGCCCATCTCGTAGTTGTCCATGCAGATTGGGCACTGAGTGAAGTTGTAGTCTGAGATGACTGGAGCAGGCAAGTCAGGGCGAGTCCGAGCTTGGCGCTCGAACGTGGTTTCGCCCTCCCGATATGGCGTCGGTGGCGGCCGCCTTTCTGGCCGTTCAGCAGGTGGCCCCGCTTCCGCGGGTGGCCCCGCTTGGGCCTCGCGCTCAATCCTTCTCTGGATCGCGCGCTGTTGGCGCAGCCTAGTGTTGTCACGAGCCTGCTGCCTGGATGCCAGTATCGCTTGCTGCGTGTTGTGCGCGTCGCGGATGTAGTCTGGCACGCTGCCCATAGCGGCTGGCACCGCGAGACCAGCTGGCTGGACTATGGTCTCGGGGTCCGTCGGCGCGGGCATGTAGGCGTAGTGTGGCATAGACTGCGCATCGACCGCTCGTGTAAACTGCAAACGAAACATCTCATTAGCTAAGTTCCGAGTGTATTCGTTCGCAGGTGGCCCCGCAATCATAGGAGTGTCATTTATCTGCGCGTAGTACTCAGGGTACATCGGCGCGTCCATGGCCGGCGCCTCTGCTGGACCGTGATTGTCCCATCCGTATATCGGGTGTGATGCTATTCCTGGAATAAACACCTGTCGATATGGATTCGTGGGATCAGCGTTTGGAGCATCTTCAGAAGTCCAACTCCAGAGAGGTCGGAAGTCGCCATGGCTTGTGACGTCTATGTTGCGGTTCCGCAACAGGCTGGGTACTCTTTCAGCTTGTTGTTGCAGAAAAGTAGCCTGTGCTCTTAAGTTAGCTGCCCGACGTTCGTAGTCTGAACCTTGCTGTCCGTCAGCGGGTGGCCCCGCTTGAGCGGGTGGCTCCGCAGGCGTTCGCCCAGCGGGTGACCCCGCAGCCGCTCCTCCTTCACTACCCCTCGGAGTGCCAAAGGGAGTGGTTGCTTGGAGTGCTGCCGCGAGTGCTGGATTTCCGCGAATCGCCTGGAGTCTTTGCCACAAGCTGTTCTCGCTCGTTTCAGACGGCGGAGTCCGGAACGGCGAGCCACCATCGGAGCCGCCCATAGGGACAAACCTCGCACCTCCAGCCTGCTGCGGAGGGCGTTGCGGCTGTGGTCCTAGGGCGCCTGGTGGCCCCGCAGGAGTGCGCAGGTTCCTCTGCTGTGCGTCTTGGATACCTGCCTGCACTGCCCACGGGCCAGCACGGTATAGCTGATCGGTCAGTCCAGAAACGTCGGCTGGTGACAGGTAGCTGTTGAGGGCCTGGACCCATGTCTGCTGGTCCGGCCTCCAAGGAGATGCTACTGCGGCTACTGGCGTGACCACTTGCTGCCATGAACCATCCGAGGTGTCTGCCGCGGGTGTCCCCGCTCCTGCGGGTGGCCCCGCCTCAGGCATGACCTCGTCTTCCTGGGCGTTTATCATGAGGACTGTCTGTGTGAGGTACGGTCGTGGAGCAACGTCTTGCTCGGTCATGGTCAGGTTGAATGGGCGACCGCCCGTCTTAGTCCAGCCCTTTAGGTACATGGCGTGCTCGTCCATCACACCCAGAACTCTGTTGCACATTTTAAGTGGCAAGTAGTCCTCGGAGCAAATCCTGTCCGCGGGTTGGCCCCGCTTCCGCGATTTGTCGTAAGCCAGCGGATTGCACCAGGCTTCACCGACCCGATATTTTGCAATGCTCACAATCTGAAAGATATGATCGGGCGGTATGCGGCCATTGTGGCCCCGTGTCATGACGATGTCATTCGCTGACCTCCATAAAGAGAAGCCGCTGGACAACATCTTGCTGATGCTGCAGAAGATGAGCACCTCAGAGTCAGGACGGATGCCCGACTGAATCCTCGGGTCACCCGGGAGGTAGGGGCAGCCGTGAACGAACTGGCGCCCCCCCTGCCCCTTAGGGTTGTCCTGTGTGAGGCATGAAAGGCCATTCTCAAGGATGCCCTTAACATGCTCCCACTGTGTCCCGTGGATAAAGTATACTGGGTCATCTGGTTCCTTCATCCATGTCGTGATGGGCTTATAGAGCGACTCTGGGCAGTGGATGCCTGGGCTGCTATGGCCGTTCGTGGCTCTGATGAAATATTGTGGCCTGTGTGCCTTTGGTCGGAATCTGGGAGGTAGCGTCATGCTATCCTCGACGCATTTCATCTGGAGCCTGCCCTTCTGCATGCCATGGTTGTCGATCATCTCGCAGCAGTTCAGCAACACCCAATACACGTATGAGCTGTGAGGGTTGCCCTTGATAATCACATCGTGCATGTCCTGGTAGCCGTTCCACTGATTGTCACCAGTCCAATTTGCCAGCAAGTCGTCAACAACAACCCAGCCATCGTATGGATCGAAAGTGTCAATCTTTTCGAAGTATCGGCTGAATCCATCTTTCCAATACGGACCATGGCGTAGGGCTGTAGAGAACCACATTGACACCTTGGCCATTTGCCAATCGCGCGGCAGAGTCGGATATGTGTTGAACCTCTTCATGACATTCATGAGCTCTGCCTTGTGCTGCGCGACGCGCAATGGCGGCCTGCCCCGCAACATATTGCCCACGACTTGTTGTTCACGTTCCCATTCGTTACGGCACTCGAAGTTACGACGATCGGGGCAATCGATGACCGCGTATCGATCTGTATCATCTCGAGTGACTCGTGGGTTTATGGCGCGTTTCGGGCCTTTGCCTTCAATGCCTTGCCAATATTCAATGGCTCCCAGAGGGATGTTCTTGAGAACAGACGACGCTGGTTGCCGACGTGCGGGCGGCCCCGCTGCTGCAGCTGGCGCCGCTGCGGCTGCCGAGGCAGCTCCAGCGGATGACCCCGCACCAGGGTGCGGGTGACCTTGGTCAGCCAGCGCATCGTCGGCTAGTTTCTGTCGGCTGTCAATTTCTTTGAGGGCTTTGCGGCGTTCTTCTTCTGAGGGAGTGCCTTCTGCGGGTGCCCCCGCTGCTGCAGTTGGCGCCGCTTCAGCGGGTGGCCCCGCAGAGCCCTTGTCCTCCATACCTTTGGCGGCTGCCTCTGCCCGCACCGACCTCAACCCAGCCTCGGGCTTCGGTTGCGCTTTCATTCGTGCCGAGCCTGGTCGCGGTGCAAGGCGCGGCTGATGCAGAGTTGGAGTCCAGCCACCTCGGAAGGCTGCCTTAGGCTGGTCGCGATCTTCGTCCTTGACGTCGCCTTGGGCAGCCGGTGGCATCGGGGCTGATGGTCCAGCAAAAGCCTTCCTCCTCTCCGTCACGGACGGGCCGGTAGGCTCTCCCGGCTCAGGGTCGCCCTTCTTGGCGATCCCTCTGGCCTTCGCACGCCCCTGTGAACCTTCGGGGCTCTTGGAAGGAGACCTCTTCTCAGGAGAAGGTGGAGGCGAGGAGTCGACCACAGGTCCTGGAGGTGGTTCGACGTCTTCGTCGTCCTCTGGTGGTGGACCAGGAGGGTCTTTAGGAGGGCCTTCTGGCTGGCCATGATCATGGATGACCTGCCTCATCTGGTCGATGTTGGCACTACCTTTTATGGCCAGCTTGTGCTTGCCATTTTCGTGGCGGTAAAGTACCCTCGTGCAAAACCACTTCTGCGCCGAGGAGCTGCAGTACCAGCAGGCGCATCCATCAGGGAATGGATTCTCTGAGCCGTCTTCCGCCGCCCATTCTTCGTTCAGTTCGGTCTGGTCAGTACCGGCGGCGGATCCGGCAGCAGATGCAACAGCCATCCACTCTTCGTCCGCGGACCCAGCGGCTGGCGCCGCGCCCGCGGGTGGCCCCGCACCTCCGCTAGAGTCTGCGGGTGACCCCGCCTCTTCATGGAATCGGCGGTTCCACTCTTTGAGGCGATGGTCTTTAGGAAGCTGTTCCCAATTTTCCCTGACAGTGTCAGCAACCTCCTCGGTCATAGGGACGCGATCGGCTTCGGTAATGCGCTTTCCTCCTTCAGGGACCTTCTTGTTAGGATCGTGGACGGTGCCAGCGTCATCTCCATGAGACCAGTTCCAGGGGGTCTCACCGTGATGAGGGCTCCTGGAGGGGCGGTCCATTGGACAGCCGCGCATGTGACCTTTGAAAGGCTCGCATTGACATACTTGTTTCCTGTATGTCTTGCGATCGTTGATGATCTCCTGTTTCTTAGCCTTTCGGCCCCAAGCCTCTGGCGTTTTAGTCTTGCCACCTTTGGTGCGTATTATGATGCCAGATTCGTCCCGTTTGCAGTGCTCCTTGGACCACCAGTGGCGGATCACGTCCATCGGGTAGCCGGGGTACCAATTGATGTACCACTCCGGCACGTACTGAGCGGATACACCTCTGGAGTGCTCCGTGCTGTACGGGTAGCCAGATGCATCATGTGTAGGGCGTCGTGGAGCTGAACGGCTCCTCCTGCGGGTTGGCCCCGCTGACGCACTGCCACGTTCCATGGGCCTTTCATCTTCATGACGGTGCTCTGGATCTCGAGGTGGCGATGGTCGCCTGTTCTTCTTTGCATTGCGCCTGTCCTCCGAGTCCTCTGAGCTGTCCTGGACCATGAATACGTGCTGATGCGGGCTTTGGAAGTACCCGATGTCGGTCAGCTGCTCCATAGCGAGGTCGTTGAGGTCCATCTGGTCGCAGCCCTGCATGAACTCGTCCATAGACCAAGCGGGTAGCCCCGCTGCTGCAGCTGGCGCCGCTTCAGCGGGTGGCCCCGCTAGGGCTTGGAGTGCGGTCAGCATCTGCGGTGCCGACATATCAGGATCCAGGTATGGACGCAGCCTTGCGGCCCCTGGGCGCGACGGCAGGTCGTTCATGGTCATCTGCTGATGTGCTGGCGCACTCAGGAGCTGGATCGCTTCTGCGACCTGCTCTTGGAGCCTGTCCTCATAGTCCTCTTCGGCCTCTTCAGAGTCAGAATAAGCTGCGGGATGGCCCCGCATTTCGTCGTCAGCGTCTCCCGCTTCCGAGCCGGCTCGCGAAAGATCAGGCAGCAACGGCATGCCGATCACCTGCGGTGCCAGCGCGGCGGCGAGCTCCTCCTCGGTCGCCGGGACGGTCTCAGCTTCGGAGATCTCGTCGTCGGCGGGTGGCCCCGCTGGAAGACCGAACCAGGCGTTGAACGCGCCCTCGTCGACTTCGCCCCAGCCGTGGAACTCGTCGAAGAGGGTCACCGCGTACTCTTCCAGGGCTACGGTCGCATCAGCGTAGCGGGCCATCACGTAGTACGTGGAGGAGCCCGCGGCGGGAGCCGCTTCTGGATTGACGTAAAACTCGTAGTCAATGTAGTCTATGTCATCCATAAAAGAGTTTTGAGCCAAATGTACGGATCCCTTTCCTTTCCCCTTCGGGCAATGATCGCGCAAATGCTCTGTACTACCGCATGCATGACACTTCATAGTGTTGCCAGAAGCGTCCCTAGGGTTACCCCTCCGCCCTTTTCCCTTACCAGAGGTCCGCCTGCGACCCCGACCTTTGCCTCGGATAAGAACTTCTTCAAAAACTACATCAGTTAAGGACGTGAGGAAAGCAGTGATACCCCTACCATGCATACGGCGTCTGCGACCCCCTCTGCCACGACCCTTTCCATAGCGTTTGAAATATCGGCGTGCTGCACGTCTCACTTTTCTGACCGGTTTCTTCATAATGCGCCTCCAACGGCGTTTTGATTTGCGATAAGCCATAAAAGCGGCTTCCGCTCTTTGTTGTTCAGAAAGGTGAGTGTCATCAGCTGGATAGTCATTGCCAGCAGAGACCATACCATTGTGATCACCGTCAGATGAGGTATCTGTGTCAGTGCCAGATTCAAACGGAGAGGGTGGCTGAGACCCTTGAGCGGATGACTCCGCTTGGCCCCAGAGGGTTGTGCCCGAGGGCGGGCTTGCAGTGTAGGCGGCGCCCGGCGTGTAGTTCGACCAGGCGTTCGCCTCCGCTGCCTCTGCCGATGCCTGGCCGGTCTGCCCTAAGAGGGCAGTGGCCTCGTTGGGCATATCGGCTGAATCAGCCCAGGGACTTGGCTCGCCAGGACCAGCGGGTGACCCCGCAGTCGCGGCGTAGACACCTGCATGTGCGTGGTGCCCTGTGAAGATGCCCGCAATGTTGCCAGGAGAGCGCTCGGCAACATGCCCGTAGTTCCTCATCCTGGTCAGCAGCCTATCATAGTCTGCTTGCGTTCTGGGCATCTGATGATTGAAGGGCTCCAGCAGGTGTTGGGCTCGTGACGCGCCAACGCCTAACGCTCTGAAAAGGATCAGCGTTAGGATCTGAAAGTTGGGGATGACAAATCCAACAGAGTTAGCCTCGTCACGGGCCATCTCGAATCGAGCTAACACTGAGTCGATTCGCTCGCCCCTTTCGACGCGAAAGTCGATAAGGGCAGTGCCAGAGTTGAGCTGGCGCTCATCTTCCAGATTTTCAAATTTGGTACTCAATAGATAAAGTATATAAGTAACTGCATCCGTTGGCTGTCCGTTGACATTTACACCATAATTGATGATCTGGGAGGGGACCTGCATGGCGATACGACGAGCAAGGCCTTGAAGACCACGTTGTAGTGCTGCAGCTTGCTGAGGTGGCGTCATACTGCCGCTCGTCACGTTTATCCATGCATGTACTTCGCGAACGTACTCGCGAAAGGGCGCAGTACCGGCTGGGTCCCAAGAAGGGCCGGTAGCACGCGTGTCGTCCATCCCCTGCCGCATGTAGTCCACAGCACATCCCATTATCACCCATAGAATGCCGAAGATAGTTATCTTGATCCAGTGCATGTGCATCTCGGCTTTGGTGATTGGTTTAGGCTGTGGTTTGTCAGGCTCGGGCGTAGTAGCCGTAAGGCGCCTGACCGGCACGGGATGCAGGTGGCCCCGCTGCGGGTAGCCCCGCAGAGTGACCACGTTCTCGATCGAGTTGCCGATTGGCATCTGGTGGAAGTCGGGAGTGAAGTAGCGCAGTGAGGTAGGAGAGAACGTCTCGAGCTCGCGGGTCGCCCCGCTACCCCGATCGCGGACTGGCTCCGCTCCTCGCAGAGCCGGCGCAACATGGTATTCCACCGTAGTAGTAGTCCACCAAGTTGTGCCGTGGATGATGGGTATTAGAGCGAGAGCCAGCCACACGAGAGTGTAGCCAGCTCCGCTACCAAGTCGAAAACGCACTGGTAAGCCAAGATATATGTTCCGCCTTAGGCGCTCCCATATCCCAGGCTTTGGCTCATACCGCATGAGCAAGAGAGCAAGATGAAGCATGGGATCTGGAGTAAAGGATAGAAGGGGCATCTTCAATAGAAAGGTCTTTTCCGATCTCAGATGCGAGTAGTGCGCCTCGGTGAGGCACAATCACATGTTCGGCCGGGCCCGGCTTGAGCCAGGCACGGCAGCGGTGCATGCTCGATTTACATCTCGCCTTTAACCCTCTCCGTTTAAAGTGAAGACGGCCTGAGGAGGGGAACAAGGGATGAGGCTGGCCCCAAGATGGCGCAAGATGGCCTGAAGACGCCTCCAAGAGGGCTCCAAGGGGCTTCTAAGAGGGCCCCAGGAGAGCGCCACAAGAGGGCGCCAAGACAGAGCTAATTAGGATCACCCGGAAGGCCTCTGCTGGGTGATTCCAATTGGGGCCCTCTTGCGGCCCTCTTGGGAGCCTCTTGGGGCCCGAGCTGGCCCCAAGATGGCTCAAGATGGCCTCCAGACGCTTCCAAAGAGGCCCTAAGAGGCCCCAGGAGGGCCACAAGAGGGCCCCAAAACTCACCCGATTAGGATCACCCGGAAGGGCTCTGCCGGGTGATCCTAGTTGGAGTCCTTTTGGGGTTCTCTTGAGAGCCTCTTGGGGCCCAACATGGCCCCAAGATGGCCTCAAGAAGGCTCCAAGAGGGTCTCCAGACGGCTCCAAGAGGGCTCCAAAACGGACCCAATTAGGATCACCCGGCAGAGGCCTTCCGGGTGATCCCAATTGGGTCCGTCTTGCAGCCCTCTTGGGGCTCTCTTGGGCGCCTCTTAAGGCCCTCTTGGAGGAGCGTGGAGGCCATCTTGGGAGCAGGAGCAGGACGAGGAGGAGGAGGAGGAGGAGGAGGATGAAAAGGAGGAGGCCCCCCCCCCCCGGCATGAGGCCACTGCCGCCACCGCCGCCACCGCTGCCGCAGACGCACGCCCGGCTTGCGGAGGCGCGGGGTGCGGGGAGGGGGGGAGGAGAGGGAGGAGGAGGAGGAGGAGGAGGAGGAGGAGGAGGTGGAGGAGGAGGACGAGGAGGAGGACGAGGAGGAGGACGAGGAGGAGGAGGAGGAGGAGGAGGAGAGGAGGAGCAGGAGGAGGAGGAGGAGAGGAGGAGGAGCAGGAGGAGGAGGAGGAGGAGGAGGAGGAGGAGGAGGACCCGTCGTCGCTCGAACCGAAGCCGAAGACGGCCTGAGGAGGGGAACAAGGGATGAGGCTGGCCCCAAGATGGCGCAAGATGGCCTGAAGACGCCTCCAAGAGGGCTCGAAGGGGCTTCTAAAAGGGCCCCAGGAGAGCGCCACAAGAGGCGCCAAGACAGAGCTAATTAGGATCACCCGGAAGGCCTTTGCTGGGTGATTCCAATTGGGGCCCTCTTGCGGCCCTCTTGGGAGCCTCTTGGGGCCCGAGCTGGCCCCAAGATGGCTCAAGATGGCCTCCAGACGCTTCCAAAGAGGCCCTAAGAGGCCCCAGGAGGGCCACAAGAGGGCCCCAAAACTCACCCGATTAGGATCACCCGGAAGGGCTCTGCCGGGTGATCCTAGTTGGAGTCCTTTTGGGGTTCTCTTGGGAGCCTCTTGGGGCCCAACATGGCCCCAAGATGGCCTCAAGAAGGCTCCAAGAGGGTCTCCAGACGGCTCCAAGACGGACCCAATTAGGATCACCCGGCAGAGGCCTTCCGGGTGATCCTAATTGGGTCCGTCTTGCAGCCCTCTTGGGGCTCTCTTGGGCGCCTCTTCAGGCCCTCTTGGAGGCGCGTGGAGGCCATCTTGGGCGCTCTTTAGGGCCAGCTTGGGCCTCAAGAGGCTCCCGAGAGGGCCCCAAGAGGCCCTCGAGAGGGCTCCCGAGAAGGCCGTGGTGGGGGCGGCGGCGAAGACGACGACGATCCCCTAGATCGGGCGCTGTGATTTTTTTGTTTTGGAAAAAAAATGGAAGTTTGTCGTTCTTTTCGGCTCCGGGGACCTGTCGTGAACAAAAAGAACACTGCAAACGAATACACATCTTGTTGGCCGCAGAGTTTGCAATGGTTTCTGTACCGACGGCACGCAGCATGCAAGGAGTCGTAATACAATCCCAGTAGTCCTCATCGTCGTGCTGGTAAAGAACTCAATATAGAGTAGTCGATAGAGTAGTCAGTAATAACATGAAAACTATCAGTCGCAGTAGCAGCAGTTGTAGTAGTATTCGTAGTAGTAACAGTATTCGTAGTAGTATTCGTAGTAGTGGTAGTAGTAGTAGTAGTAGTAGTAGTAGTAGTAGTAGTAGTAGTCGTAGTAGTAGTAGCAGTAGTAGTAGTAGTCGCAAACGTACTCGTGGTCGTGATAGTAGCGGTGCTAGTATGAGTCGTGGTCGTAGACGTAGTAGTCGTAGTCGGAGTAGTCGTAGTAGTAGTAGTAGTAGTAGTAGTCGTAGTAGTAGTAGTAGTAGTAGGTAGTAGTAGTAGTAGTAGTAGTAGTAGTCGTAGTAGTAGTAGTAGTAGTAGTAGTAGTCGTAGTAGTAGTCGTAGTCGTAGTCGTAGTAGTAGTAGTAGTAGTAGTAGTAGTAGTAGTAGTAGTAGTAGTAGTAGTAGTAGTAGTAGTAGTAGTAGTAGTAGTAGTAGTAGTAGTAGTAGTAGTAGTAGTAGTAGTAGTAGTAGTAGTAGTAGTAGTAGTAGTAGTAGTAGTAGTAGTAGTAGTAGTAGTAGTAGTAGTAGTAGTAGTAGTAGTAGTAGTAGTAGTAGTAGTAGTAGTAGTAGTAGTAGTAGTAGTAGTAGTAGAGGCCTCTGTGAAACGTCCCGGGACCTCTGTGGATCAGGTCAGCGCGGGTCAGCGCAAGTCAGCGCAGGTCAGCGCAGGTCCTCACAGAACGACGCAGGACGGCACGGGTCTCGGACAGGGAGGACAGGGCACAATCTGAGCTGCGCTGACCTGCGCTGACCTGCGCTGACCTGCGCTGACCTGCGCTGACTGACCTGCGCTGACCTGCGCTGACCTGCGCTGACCTGCGCTGACTGGCCTGACCTGCGCTGACCCCGTTGACCTGCGCTGACCTGCGCTGACCCGCGCCGGTAACATTTGGAAGCCGTTTCCGGATACAATGGAAAATCGGGCGCCACATCACATGGTATCGGCGATGCAATGGCGATGCGGCGCGATCCTCCGAGCCCGTTTACCCCGTCTGGGAGGCCTAGAAGTATGGGTGCCTTACGTTGCGCGGACCTCCGCCACAGGCCGATCTCAAAAGTACCGCGCTCGGCCGCGGGCGGCAGCCCGGGGCGCTCCTGAAAGCCACACGCGGTAGGGTGAGTCCCCTGCGACCGTTCGTGGCACAAGGTGCTGCGGGTGCCTACCTGATGCCCTTCGTCTCTGGCTTGCCTCCGCTACAGTCGGGGACAGCTTGATCGCATGCTTGCAGGCTGTATCCCCGGCTCCCTGTGTCCAGCCAACCCCACAACGCTGGGCACCCGAGTTGCCCACTCGGTCGGCCTGCTTCCACGCCTGAGCGTTGGCGCCGCGTTGCGTCGCCTGGGTCCCGCGAAATTGAAACCTGAGGAGACAACTACTGGGAGGTCTTCGTCGGAAAAATTGGGGAGGATTAAGCCCCAATGAGGGGCTGCTACACCGGATAGGGCCGCGGATTAAGCCGGATTCAACGGGATTGAAGCAGATTAAGCGGGATTAAGCCGGATTTTGGACAAGGACAAAGTCAGAATTTGACCTCACAGGAGTTGCATCCGAACGAAACCCTATTCTCTGGCGGTTGAGTTCCAGCGCGTTGTCGCTGTTCTTCCTCAGACGTGCGCCGCCGGTGAGGCCTGTCTGCATCCCCTGCGGTTTCGGCGCCGTACTGATGCATTATCTCTGCTCTGTCACCCGCCCAGTCTTACAGCATCATGGTGAAGAGGTACGCGCTCAACGCAGTGCGTTGCACAACCACTCACATCGCTGTCGGCAAGCTGACTGGCTTCGATGCGTCCCCAGTCTCATTGCATTCAGCCTCAGCCGCGCTGTTAGCAACTAGGGGGCCACATGCGAACCCTAACCCTACCCCCCACGATTTCTGAGGGGGTCCACTTCGTTCGGGAGCTCCCGAGCGTTCGTGTGGGGTAGGGGTAGGGTTCGCATGTGGCCTCTTAGAAACGCTGAACCGTCTGCACGCCGGCGCAAAGGGCTGCCGACAAGAGAACGCGAGTCAGCTGCATCGACCTCCGATGCACCCCGTGTCCTTCCGAGCGGCCGCTCGCCGCGCCGCGAGCGGCACCGCACGGAAGCTGTCGCAGAGGCTGATCCCTTGGAGAGACGACGGTGAAGGAGCCCAGGGACACACGAGTAAATAAGCACAAATCCCAGGAATCCCCATACTTTCCTCCTATATTTTCTGGGTTCCTGTCTTCCCACCCACCTCCCATATTTTCATGCATTTCCCTGGTAGTCGGCGATCAATTGTGTCTGTGCGTTCTGTGCCCTCCTGAGATGGGGCTCGAAATGGGCCACGAAATGATCTGGGGGCCGCCGGAAACTGTATCTTTGATTTGTCATCTGCGGCACGGCGGGCTGACCACCCCCTTGCAACCCGCGACGGCGCCCCACTCGCAGGCGATCCCGCTCTCCAGCGGCAGCCGACAAGCACGGGCGACCTGGAGAACGACGCAGGGGCACGAGGTTGCCCGCTCGGAATTGGCCGCGCGAAATTGCCCGCGCGAGATGGGGGAGGGTGGGGGTGCTCGCGCGAATTGGCGCGCGCGCGCAAATGCGCGAACGTGCATTTCAGCACCCGGGCCTCGCTGGCAGCGCCTCCGTGCAGTGCGGCCAGAGCGCGGGGATGTACAGCACGTCCCCCGCCTCGAGCTCGACCTCCAGCCGCCTGACACTGCGAGCTGCGCCACGGGGGAGAGGCGGGGAGGTGAGGGGACGAGAGGAGGCCCCTCCCCACCTCCCCGCCCTCCCTCCCATCACCATCCCTCTCCTCACTATCCCTCCCTCCCTCCCCGCGCCTCCTCCCTCCGCTTTCCCGATCCGTCGCTCCCTTACCATGGACCCCCTAAAATCCACCTGCAAATGGCCAGTGCGATAGATACGCGATAGATCCGTGATGGCAGGGCAGTGCAAGGACGAGAAAGACCCCCCCACTCACCCTCCCCACCCAGAATCGTCCGTTGCGCGTGGAGCGCGGGGAGAATCCCTCATCCACTTTTCCATTTCCACCGGCCACCCCTCCCCCGTCCCTCCCATCCCATCCGCCTTCCTGATCCCTCCCTCCCTTGGCCCTTGGCCGCCTGGACCAAGCGGCCCGCGCGAGCGGGAATTCCCGCCAGAGCTCCTCGAGGCGGTCCGCGTCGGGGTCCAAGGCCCGGCTGCCCAGCAGCGACGAAGAGCCGTTCACGTAAAGGCCCCCCACCTGGAGCCCAGGGGAGGACTTTCACAGAGGATCTCGGCCATGTGGGCGCGGACGCAGCGTATCTTACGAAGGGGCGTGGCACTGGGAGCACGGATGGACTGAATTCCACGATGAGGGAATTGAAACACAAAAACACAAGACACGGCGGAACCGCTCCCCCATACACAAAAAGAATATTCGGCGCGCCCGGAGAACCAGGGGGGGCGGCGGACATCGGCCTCTCTAACTGGCTTCCTCCCCCCACCACCCCCGTGCAAAGAGGGGGGAGTCAAAAGGGAGCGGACGAAAGGGGGGGGACCCTCCCCCAAATAGAACCCAACTAAGGCTCGATCAAGCTCAAGTCAAAACCGCTTATAGCTGGATCAAATTTAACTAGCACCCTAATCGGGCTGGAACCAGCTGTGCTAGAATCGCATTATCAATCCAAAAAAGAGACTCTACTTGATTAGTAATAAGGCTCGATCCAGCTCTTATCGAATCCTTATATAGCTCGACTCAAATATAGTAGCGTCCTAGTAGGGCTCGATCCAAATCTAATGGAATCCTGGTATAGCTGAGGTTCGACCCAGCTCGAATAGAATCCTACCATACCTGGATCAAGCTCCAATCGAATCATACTGGGGCGCGATCCAGCTCAATTTGGAACTTACTAGGGCTCGATCCTGCCTTGATAGCATCCTACTAAGACTCGATCGTCGTCGTCGGCGCAGGCGACGGCGCTGGCGCTCGCCGTCGTCGGTTGCCACTGGGGAAACAAGGGGGTGGGGCCCCACCCCGGTTCGAACCCACCCCCCTTGAGAGGGGGGAAAGGGGGGGGGGGGCGGTTCGCTCCCCCACCTCCAGGGGTCCACAGAAAGCGCGCATTCTGCGCTTTCGATGTGCACTCCACGTGGTGCAGCATATGGGGCGCATCCTATGTGAAAATATTGACCACGCAGCACCGCGCGCGACAACCTCCCGCGCTCGCGCGAGCATCCCGCACACCCACGCGCAACCTGGCTGGCGAAACCCAAGCAGGCAACGATGAGGATGGCAAAGACGATGTCGACCCACGCGGAGGCGACTACGATGACTGCTTGGCCATGGCCAGAGCATCTGTGCGGCCGCGCTGGCGCGTACCAAGTCGCGCACAGAGCGGCCAGCTTGTTTGGCGCAGCAGATGCGGCAGCGATGCGCTTACCGATGGGAGCTTCCCAGCGCGCGTTATTGGCCACGCCTGCGCGCGGGCCCCTCGTTGCGGGTCGGTGGCTCGGGCGGGCGCGGTATCGTGATGACGTCGACAACGGCGGCAGCGATGATGATAGTAGCGAAGGTGATGGCGATGATCACCATGACGGCGGCAAGGGCAATGACGGCGTCGATGCGGGTAACGCCGATGACGATGACGATGTCCGTGCGTCGATGCTGAAGGTGCTTGAGTGCTGATGGAAACACGTGCGGCGATTGCCAATGACGATAACGTGATGCGGCAGCGATGATGATGGTGATGGTGAGGAAGTGCGCGCGTGGAAATCCAATAACACTGGCAATATCTGGGCTGAAAAAACAAGTGGTGTTGGATTATTGGATACGGGTTGGCGCATTGGGGCGCATGCTGGATCAACGCGGATGCACCGCGTGGTGAGATGAGAACGCATACGCGTGCCCTATCATTCCCGCCCACGGCTGGCGCGGGCTGCGCGGCCCAACAGGCGGCGGGCACAGCAGCAGCAGACGGCGCCGGCAGGGGACCCGCAGCCGCAGCTGCAGCGGCGCCCCCAGCGACCGTGGGCGGTCGGCCAGGGTTTGCCCCAGCGCGGTGCCGCCGAGGCCGCCCGCGCCCTCTTCGGGGGCGGCGCGTGGGCGCCGCACGCGGCGTCGCAGGGCCCCGGGTGGGTCGCGTGCCTCTGCTGCGGCAGCGCAGCCCCGCACTGGCGGGCGCTGGCGGCTCGGCCCTGCCCGGGGTGGGCCAGCACGTTGCCGCCTCGCGCAGCGGCGCTCCTGCTGGTGCCCGCGGTGCGAGCGGGAGGCAGCGAGGCGGGCTGGCGCGCGGCGCTGCGCAGGCGGCTGGAGGCTCGGCCGGGGCCGCCGGACTAGGCAGATGCGGCGCAGCCCAGGGGCTGGCTGCCGGCGGTTTCACCCTCCCCCCTCTCCTCACCCTCTCCTCCTTGCGTCTCGCCACGGGGCCCGCTTGCGCTTGTAAAAAAAAGTGCCCTATCATTCCCGCAAGTGCGCGCGGGCAGAAGATTCGTAAGCTTTGTCCACCGCCGTGCCCTTGAGGCACGGTGGGAGTGCCCTCGTGTCTTTGGCCCAACCTTAGGTCGGGCCTGTCCCCCTACTGGGAGATTCGTGGCGAAAAATCAAAGTTGCTCGAAAAATACCCCCCAAAAAAGTGCTCAAAGCATCGTCCCCAGACTATTTTTTGACTGTTCTTGAAGATCCCTCCTGTAGAGGGACAGGCCCGACTTAAGCCTAACCCCTGAGGCCTCCCCAGTCCTCGGGGCTCGTCAAGAAAAAGGCCCGGGCCCGAGATTGCCAAGCTGTTCCGGGGCCTGGCGCGTGCCGCCTGGGGCGCGTCGAGGCGCGTCGCCCGCCTCGTGCGGGCCCACAGAGGGTCCCGCGACGAGCCAGGAGGGCCACAAATGGCCGCCCAGACGGCCCAATGGCGCCCCGGATCACCGCAAGACCGCGCCAGGACGCCCCAAAAAATTGCCCCCAAGACGGCCAGGGAAGCCCTCGAGACGCCCGAAGGGAGCCCAAAGAGCCTTCCTAAGAGGGCCCCGAAAGGCTCCCAAATCCGCCGATCCGGCGTGTGAGTTTAAGAAAGCTACAACCTGAGCTTCAGCTCTGCTGGGGGGGGGCCGGGGGGGCTCTGCCAGGGTAGGGGGGAGGGGGGGAGGGTTCATCGGGTCCACCCTTTCTTTGCCCCCCCCCCCCCCATCGGGTCCACCCTTTCTTTCCCCCCCCCCCCCCTGGGAATCCCAAACCGCCCCAAGACGGAACAAAAGGTGCCCAGGAGACCACCAAGACTGTCCAGGAGGCGCCCGAAACGGGCCAAGAGCGCTCCTGGACGCCCAAGATGGCCTGAAGACGGCCCAAGAGGCCTCCAAGGCGCCTCAAGGAGATCCCAAGAGGACCCCCAAGAGGGCCCCAAGAGGGTACAATAATAAAGTTGCGAATAAGTTTTGAAGCATTTTAACATTATCGCCTTTTCCGTCTTAGAAGCGCCGAAGACGGTCCAAGAGGCCCCCAAGATCGCACCAAGACAGCCTAAGAGGCCCCCAAGAGAAGCCAAGACGGTCCAAGAGGGCCCCAATGTAGCCCTGGAGGCCCCCCAAGACGACCCCGAAAGGCCCCCAAGATGGCCTCAAGAGGGTGAACCCGCACGGACCCTTCTAGTCCTCCACCCCAAGATGATCTCAAGAGCCCCCGAGGCGCCCCCAAGGGGCCCCAAGAGGCCCCCAAGAGGTCCCCAAGAGGCCCCCAAGAGGACCCCGAGAGGCCCCCAAGAGGCCCCAAAGGCCCCCAAGAAGCCCCAAGAACCAAGAGGCCCCAAGAGGCGCTCACACGCGTGCTGCCAGGTCAGAGGTGCACGGCCTGACTTGGTATTTCTCGGAAGCGAAAGCGATGAACGAAGAACCTTCCAGCCGTCGCCGTCACCAGTCGTCGGTCGTCGGCCGTCGGCAGCCGTTCGCCGTCAGTCGTCGTCGTCGTCGTCGTCGTCGTCGTCGTCGTCGTCGTCGTCGTCGTCGTCGTCGTCGTCGTCGTCGTCGTCGTCGTCGTCGTCGTCGTCGTCGTCGTCGTCGTCGGTTCGTCGTCATTAACTCCCTCGTCGGTCGTCGTCGTAATTATCCCGCTCGTCGACCGTTGGTCGTCCGTTGTCGTCGTCATCGTCCATTTCAACAGCAGTAGCATCAGGAGCGCCCCGGATCGGCGGCACTGGCCGGAGGCCACTACAATCAGGGTTCTCTGATTTTCAAACTTCCGATGGCCCAAGATGTCTCAAGAGGCACCCAAAACCACTTCAAGACGGCCCCAGAGGCCCCCAAGAGGGCCTCACGAGGGCCCCAAGAGGGCCCCAAGACGGCCCAAGAGGGCCCCAAGACGGCCCAAGAGGCGCCGAAGACGGCCAAAGAGGGCCCCAACACGGCCCCGAAAGGGGCCCAATAGGGAGAACACGAACCGAAAATCCGAGCCTTCCGTCCCAAGAGGCGCCCAGGAGGCCCCAAGAGATCTAGAGGCCACGAGAGGCCCAAAAAGAACCCCCAAGAGGCCCCAAGGAGGCCCACAGAAGCAACAAAGCAGCCCCCCCGAAAGCGATTAGATAATGGAGGCCCGTGCTTGATTTTGCTTTGCGTTTCGAAATCCCCGAACTTGTGTTTGGTATGAGTTCGACACATGCGCACGCGTGTGGACTGTGTCACTTCTTTGAGCCACGGACTCGTGAGCAATGATGTTTTGCGATACGCAAATGCGCGCGCATAGAATTATCTGACATGGATGACTGGGGCAAGAAGGGGACTGCCTGGGATGGTATGTATGAAACCATGCGTAAAATGAACGATGGAGCATAACCAAATTCCGTTTGCAGTGTCCCAGGGGGTATCGAGAAGTCCTGGAGGAGGAGGAGGATAGAGCCGATTCACTTTTAAAGTGAGAAGCTATACGGTGTAAACAGTTCTGACGAACACGAGGTCCTCTACTCGACTGCTCGCGCAAACATCCCAACCTCCTACCCACAAAATGCTTTGCAACACCCACGAAGCCGTGATTGCAGTGATAATGTTGCACTCTGGCGCGTTTCTGCGACCGCGCTGGCGCGCGCAAGTTCGCGCAGAGCGGCTAGCTAGTCTGGCCTGTTGCGGCCGCGTTGGCGATTGCCAATAGGAGCTTCCCAGCACGCCTCAGAGACCGCGCTTGCGCGCGGGCACTTCAGCGAAGGTCGGTAACTTGGGCGGGCACGGTACCGTGATGACATCGACAACGGCGGCAACGACGATGATAGTAGCGATGATGGCGGCGATGGTGGTGATGACGACGACAAGGCCAATGACGGCGCCGGTGCTGTTGACGACAGTGACGACGATGATGTTCTCGGTGAATGACTGGTGGCTGCGACAACGGCGGCGATTGACGATTGCGACAACGGCGGTGATGCGATGGCGTGATGGTGAAGGTGATGGTGGGCAAGGGCGCGCGCGCGGGAAACAAAAAAACAAACTTGCAGACGGTTGGTTGAACAATTTGGTTCTTCAAGGATGTTTGAAGGGCTCTGGTTTGAAATGCTTATGGCATTGGAAGGATTTCGAGGCGCGCGCGTGGCGGCGCGCACGCGTGACCCGCATGGTATCATTTGGCACGGGTTCGTGCACTGGGTGTTCTGCTGGATCAACGAAGATGCACCGTCCGCGTGGTAAGATGAGAATGCGAAATCTTGACGAGATTGCGACAAGCGAGTGCAGGCATGACAAATCGTACAACATTGACATGTGCTTGGTATGATTTCGACATGTGGGCGCGCGTGGACTTTGCGCAATTTGCTGCAAGGGACTCTCGAACATGGTCTTTTGAGATAAGCGAGTGTGCACGCATTCTAGTTGACAAGAATGACGGGGGGTCAATACCGGCTGGCCTTGGATTGTACGAATTCATACGCAAGACTAACAATGAGGCAGAATTGTACGTAAGTTGTGGTATCCCCGAGGGGGATCGATCAATCCAGGGGGGATGGAGATGGAATATATTCTTCTTGAAAAGATGCGGGACGTGGTGCAAAGCGCAACCTATGGGGCACCATGTATGTAATGCGGTAAATGTGGTGCAAACCATTGTTGTGCAGCACGCGGACTGTAGTGCATGTGTACGTGCATGTGTAATGTATATGTATATATGTATATATATATATATATATATATATATATATATATATATATATATACACGTGTGCCTGCATATCGGCCACCGTGCTCTGAGGCACGAGCTGGAGTGTCCTTAGGTCCTTCGAACCCTCCGTCCCCAATCTGGAGGATTTTTCAAAAGTCCCTGGGCCCGAAGTTCCAGGCACTCTCGGGCGGTTTTGGCGCTCTTGGGCATTGACGCGTAACTTGTTCGGAGCTCCGAGGGCCCAAAACGGCCGAGAGGGCTCACGCGGTCCAAGAGTCCCCCGAGTCGCCCGAAGATCGCTCCAAGACGCCCAAGACGGCTACCTGACGGCCCAAAACGCCCTCAGGACGCCCCAAGAGGCTCCCCTAGGCCCCTAAGGCCCCGCGACTCCAAAATCACGGTTTCCCCTTTAAACGGTCTCGCCTTTTCGGGCGTTCGACGCTCCAAGACGGCCCGAACGGCCCTAAGATCTCCCAAGACGGCCCAAGTGGCCCCCAACCAGGCCCCCACACGGCACAAGAGGCCCCAAAACGGCCCCCAAAGGGCCCCCAAGTTTGCCAAAGAGAACCCCAAGAGGCACCCGAGAAGGGACCCAACACACGAACCCACATTTCGAGCCTCCCGCCAGAAAAACAACCTCCGAGACCGCCAGCAGGCCCTCAAGGAGCCCGCCGAAGCTCTGGGAGGCCACCAAGAAGCCCAAATCAGGCCCCGAGGGGCCCGGACAAGGCCCCCCAAAAGCCCCGAAAATCCTCCAAATCGCGTCCACGAGGCTTCCGAGAGGCATCCCAATCGATCTATACAGGCATCCAAGAAGCCTCTGACCTAACATCAAGGCACAGAGGCCATGGGGCTAAAGCCACAGGGTATCCCAGAGCCACGCGCTTAGCGTGTGCGTAAGTCCTTGCCACAGTTGCATGCAGTCGCGCCACGCTGTGCGATTTAATCGGGTCCTTTCTTCCTGAGCGACATCACGCCACACTCATGCGCAGGTGTCCATGTGGCACATAATCGGTGTGGATCACCAGTTCTCGCTGGCTGAAAGCTGCACGCGGGCTCATCGCAAGATGCGCAGATCATGCCAAGTGAGGATGGACCGAGCAAAAGTTCGCCAAGGTCGTAGAACAGCACGTTCTGGGAAGAACGTTCCGAACCTTGCTAGTATCCTTCGCCATTGCTGACTCGTGACGTTGGCATGGCCGTGACACTGCGAGGATGTTTGAGGCGGTCGGATGGCCGTTGGCGCATCCTCGATCGGTTGCACCTTTGGCGCTTGCGATCTGCGCGATCTCTGCTATGCGAGCAGGGCGGCCGCATGACTGAGATTGCCAACTGCTCGACTAGCATGGCCAAGCTCTGCGCTGGGTCAACCACTCGCACGTCCTGGTGGAACAAAGACGTGCGGCTATCCTGCAAGGCATCGACCACCTGTTCCTGCTGATCGAACTCAAACTTGGTGCCCCTGGCGTGAGCAATCCGGAAAAGCGTGAATGATCCACCACCGTGTCTTCTTTCAGCACGTAGTGGCGGGGTGGGCACGAGCAAGTAAAATCACGAGCGCGGGGTGCGCGCCCCAGGACCCTGAAACCCAATCGTGCCTGCACGCGGCCGCGGCGTGCACCAGCTGCGCGCGAGGGCCGCGCGGACCTGTGCACATCGCCTGCGGCGCACCGCGGCGCGCGCAAGCCATGCGGCGGCGCGGCGACTGCTCGCGCCTGCGTCTGCCGCGCGTACCTGGGGCCAGCGAGTGTGCGCGACGGAGCGAATTCTCAAGGCTCACGCAGCATTGACAGGTCGAAGGGGCTGCAAATTCCCAAGGGCCTGGACCCTCGGCGTTCCAGCCACTCACGGGTGCTCTTGGGAGCTCTCGGGAGCTCGGAGGTGCTTTTGAGATCTCCCCGGAGCTCCTGGGAGCCCCTGGAAACCTTTGAGAGCCTCAAGAACGGATTCAGGTGGCCAAAACGGACCCCAGAGCGATGCAAGGCAGCTTCAAGAGGGCCCAGTGTGGCCTCAAGACTGCCCAAAGGGCCCACAAGATGCCCCAAGAAAGCCCCAAGAGCACCCCCAAGATGGCCCAAAGAGACAAACATCGTCCCATTCCTTACGGAAAACGTAAATGTTCAGCAGATTCGCTTTTTGGGTTTTCACAACGACCAAGACGGCCAATGAGACCCTTAAGATCGCCCCAGGACAGCCCAAGCGGCCCCTAAGAGAGCCCCAAGACGGCTCAAGGGATCCTCAAGACTGCCCAAGAGGCGCCCAAGATGGTCCAAGAGGGCCCAAAGAGAGCCCCACGATGGGGAACTCGAACTGACATTTCGCGCGCTCTCCACTGGAAGGCACCGAGATCGCCAGCAGGTCCCCAAAGGCCCCCCCAGAAGCCCCAGGAGGCCTCCAAGAGGTTCGAATCAGGCCCCCGTGAAGCCCTCAAGAGGACCCGAGAGGCCCCAAGACGCTCCAAAATCGCCTCCAAGAGGCGTCCGAGATGACTCCCGAGGGATTCCCCCAGGCATCCAAGAGGCCTCTGACCTACAACAAAAACACGGTGGCGGGATGGGCCGGAGGCCACTAACCAGTTCCTCGCGACTGCGCCCAGTGCGCTCGGCCCTGCGCCCAAGCGCGAAAAAAAAGCTGGGTGCCGAATGCAGCCGTGAGAGGACCAGGACGCTGTCGCTGCACTGGCTGGCTGGGCTCACGCGCTGGCTCCCCACCTGGTGTCGGCGCGCGCCAGGCTTGGCCTCGGGTATGGTTCCCCATGGCCAAACCGCCTTGCGGGCGACTCTCGGAATGCTTCTGCCCGCGCCTGTCGAACTTGGAAACCCTGCTGGTAAGATCGGGAGCGGCCAAGGGGGGGGGTGTCCAAGAGGGCGGGATGCAAATCATGACTTGCGGCATGTGCGCGGCCCAGCAGGGGGGCCAGGGACGTAACGAAATAAGAAGAGGCGCCATGAAATCTGGGGAAATACCATGGCCCCCGCCATGATATCCGCCCTCCCCTAGTCATCACCCCCCTCTTTGCCGCCCCCGATAAGATTCGCCCGAAGTGCGGCCAGGCGGCCCAGCGCGAATACCGCAGTGCGCTGCCCATGCCGCCGCTTCGTCGCACGTCGGGATCTGGCGGGCCCGGCCTCTGCCTCTGCCGCTCTGACCAAGCCGAGGGCCACGCTCTTTGAAGCGGCAGAGCAGGCCGCAGCACCGGCATGGCCGACCGCACACACTGCCAGCGTGGACCGTGCCGTCGGGGCGCTGACCTACGGAACCCGAAATAAGGAACGAGGCCCCTGCTATCCATGAGTTAAACTTCGATTTCCCATGGGGACCCTCAGGAACACTGCAAGAGAATCAAGGAACACCGAGCGCCTCCCCAACGAGAAGGGTTCCTTCTTCAGCGCCCCGACTGTACCGCGGCTCGTGTGCACAGTGCCGCGCGTCTCTGGTGCCCAACCCGCTGGGCAGGACTCTGGAACACAGCCTGCAGGCAACGGGCCGCAAAAGACGGCAAAGGAACGCGCGGCGGCTGACATTGCGGCTGCGGCTGGCTGGGCTGGCTGTGCTGATCATCAGCCATGGGTTGAGAAACATAATTGGGCACGAAGGGCTGATGCTGCTGCGCACATGGTGCATGCATGCTTGTAAACGGAATGGTAAACGAGAACCCGATGGCGCTCGAAAAAGCTCAAAGGCAAATCGTGCAGTTGGGAAAAGAAACCTGCTAGGCAGGCAGCCTTGGGCCAGCCCATGGGCTTGAGCCATAATTTCCTAAGCCGACATGGCGACGGAATAACAAGAAGAACAAGCAGAGGGAGAAGCGAGCAGGGAGGAGGGAGGAGGCGGAGACGGCGGAGGAAGGAGGAGGCAGGGGGGCGGAGGAGGGCGGAGGAGGGAGGAGGAGGAGGAGGAGGAGGATCAGGAATGGCGCCGACACCTCGCGCGGGTGCAGCAGGACCACCCGCTTGCGGCCCCGGACGCAGCAGAGAAAGTTGTCGCAGACGTCGTAGTGCAGCCACATTCTCAGGCCGACCGAGGCGTCACGCGGAGGGAGAGGAGCAGGAGGAGGAAGAGGAGGGAGGAGGAAGAGGAGGGAGGAGGAAGAGGCGGAGGAGCAAGGGGGGAGGAGGAGGGAGGAGTGAATGGAAGGATGAGAAGGGCGAGGAGGAGCAGCAGCAGCAGAGAAGGACGGCGACGATGACGACGACGACGACGACGACGACGACGACGACGACGACGACGACGACGACGACGACGACGGCGACGGACCGAGGCGACGCGCAGCACGGTCGAGTGCACCTCGGCGCCGTGGAGCAGCGCCAGTGGCAGCGCGAAGTCGCCAGCCAGGGCCCCGACGCACTCCAGGCTGGCCGGCCTGTTCCTCTTCGAGTGCAGCGACCTGTAATCCGCGCACCGTGCCGTAGGCACTGCGAGTGGGAGCGTGGCCGCAAGAACGCGGGTCAAGAACTTGAGCCCGTTCGCCGAGTGCCCAATGCCCCGTGGGGATGCCCAGAACGAAGAGCACTCCAGGGCGGCGGGCCAAACGGCGAAGAACGCAAGGCAGCCCCCAATTCTGGGGTTGTTCTTGAGCCTCGTGCCAGCTGCGAGTTCATGGATCACTGGCACCAAGTCTAATGCACAGTCAGTCAGTATCTAGTATCTAGTGTATATATATATATATATATAACCGGGGAGACGTTCTGAAGACTCGGGTACGTGGGACTCGGGTTGGCCCGACGCGGCCATCATGAAAATGACGAGGCCAAATCTGAAATTTGACGCGAGCTGCCGCTGCTGACATCCTAAGAAAACTGGACCGTCAAAATCCGGGGCGCGCTCATCAAAAAGCGTCGGCTCACCCGAGTTCCAGCTTACTCGAGTCTTGCGGCTCCCCGACACAAAGTCGGATCAACTCGAAATCTGAATATGATCGGGCCGCATCGGCTCGGCGGCGAGATCGAGTCGGACCGGCGGCGCCAGGATGCACAACAACGCCGTGTAAGCGTAGGGCCGCATCGGATCGTCGGGACATCGGAATCGAATCGGATCGGGCTGGCCGAAATCGATATTGAATCGGATCGGTCGGATAGATCTGGACCCTGGAATGATCTCAGGCCCCTTAGTGCACCCCGTATTCGCTATGGTAATGAAGAGCACCTCTAGGGGCCTAGGGCACTGATTGGCTGATTTCCAAGGGTGTAACGCGTGACCTCTGCGAGAATGCTCGGACCCACAACTCCCACGCACGGTGGCGGGATGGGCCGAAAGCCACTGGATCCGCCGCCCCCTTTTGATTTATCAAAGGTGTGCCTGGCGTGTTGGACCCTCTCGGTTTTGGTTTCGGTTCTTTGTCCAAAAGAACTCCCCCTGGGGCTCCGCCGCGTCCCGCCGGCCACCCGGAAATGGTGGTTGCCAACGGTTTTCCTGCCCCGGCCCCAAGATGGCCTCCAAGACGGCTAAGATGCCTCCAAGACGGCCAAGATGGCCTCCAAGACGGCTCAGATGGCCCCAAGATGCCTCCAAGATGGCCCAAGATGTACCCTAGACGGCCTAAGATAGCCTGAAGATGGCCCAAGACGGCCCACGAGGCCCTCAAGAGGCCTCCAAGACGGCCCAAGAGGCCTCCAAGAGGTCCTCCAGGAAGGCCCGAAGAGGCCAAAAACATTGATTTTCCTTAGGTTTTGAAGGATTCGGGCATTTGCTTCTTCTCGGCATTCCGACGGCCCCAGACGGCCCAAGAGACCCCCCAGGATCGCCCCAAGATCGCCCAAGAGGCCTCCAAGAGGGCCCCGTGACGGCCCAAGAGGCCTCCAAGACGGCCCCAAGAGGGCCCCAAGACGGCCCAAGAGGCCTTCAACAGGCCCAAGATGGTCTCCAAGACAGCCAAGATGGCCTCCAAGACGGCCCTGGAGCATTCCAAGAGGGCCCCAAGTCGGCCCAGAAAGGCCCCCAAGACGGCTCCCGACGGCGTCAGACGGACCAGGAACCCACCAAGATGGCCGAAGTTGGCTCGAAGCTGGCCCAAGATGGCCCAAGAGACCCCCAAGAGGGCCTCCAGGAAGGCCAGAAGAGGCCAAAAACATCGATTTTCCGTAGGTGTTTGACGGATTTTGACATGTGTTTCTTTTCGGCCTTCCGACGGCCCGAGACGGCCCAAGAGCCCCCAAGATCTCCGAAAGATCGCCCAAGAGGGCTCCAAGATGGCCCCAGAACGGCCCAAGAGGGCCCCAAGACGGTCCCAAGAGGCCCCCTAAGACGTTACAGGAGGCCTTTAAGACGCCCAAGATGGCCTCCAAGACGGCCCTGGAGCATTCCAAGAGGGCCCCAAGTCGGCCCAGAAAGGCCCCCAAGACGGCTCCCGACGGCGTCAGACGGACCAGGAGCCCACCAAGACGGCCGAACATGGCCCTAAGATGGCCCCAGACGGCCCAAGAGGCCTCCAAGAGGGCCTCCAGGAAGCCCGAAAAGGCCAAAATCATTGATTTCCCATAGGGTTTTGAAGGATTGTGGCATTTGCTTGTTTCAGCCTTCCGACTGCCCGAGACGGCCCAAGTGCCCCCAAAGATCGCCCAAGAGGCCCAAGACACGGCCCCGAGAGGCCCCCAAGACGGCCCAAGAGGTCTCTAAGACGCTCAAGATGGCCTCCAAGACGGCCCAAGAGCCCTCCAAGACGTCCTCCAAGAAGGCCCGAAAGGGTCAAAATGGCCTCCAGACGGCCAAGATGACCTTCAAGATGCCCACGTGTTCCCCGAAGGCTTTCCAAACCGATTCGGGGAACACATGGTCCGATAGCTTGGCAGGTCTGGCTTCAACGTTCGGCCACATAGGCGTTTCCAAAAAGGCAGGTGGCGGCGGTGATTCGTTCGCCGTAGGCGTCTTCGATCTGCCGCCCACTGTTGATTTATCACAGGGGTGGCAGGCGTGCTGAGCTTCAGATGGCTTAGATTATTTTCAAGACTCCCCCTGGCGCTTCGGCTCATTGCGCCGAGGTGCGTGTCTCGTCGGCTGTTTCGCTTAAGATGGCCTCAGTGTGGCCTCCAAGACGGCCAAGATGGCCCCGAGAGAGCCCAAGATAGCCCAAAGATGGCCTCCAAGACGGTCCAGAGGTGCCTCCAAAACCGCCAAGATGGTCAAAGATAGCCGAAGACGGCCTCAGAAGCGCCCAAGAGGCCCCGAAGATGGCCCAAGAGGCCTCCACGGGGTCCTCGAGACAGGCCCGAGAGGCCAAAATCATTGGTGCTCCTTTGGTTTTTCGATGGATGGGGCATTTGCTCATTGTCGGTCTTCCGACGGCGCATGACGGCCCCAGAGGCCCCCAAGATCGACCCAAGATGGCCCCAAAGGCCTCCAAGATGACACCATGACGGCCCAAGAAGCCTCCAAGACGGCCCCAGGAGAGCCCCAAGACGGCCCCAGGGGCCCCCGAGACGCCCAAGATGATCTCCAAGACGGCTCTGAAGCGCCCCAAGAGGACCGAGTCGGTTCAGAGAGGCATCAAAAACGGCTTCCGACGGCGTCAAACGGGCCAGGAATGCTGTAAGACAGCCAAAAGGGCCCCCAAAAAATCCCTAGGCTCCCAAGAGGCCCACGGAGGTCCCCAAGAGAGACCTCCAAAAGGCTCCCAGCAAGCTCCCGGGAGGCCCCAAGAGTGCCCCCAGAGGCTCCCAAGAGGCCTCCTCCTCCTGCTCCCTTTGTTCTCATGTTCCCGCCCTCTCCTCCTCCTCCTCCTCCCCCGTGTGTTCCTCCTCCTCCCCCTCCTCCTTCTCCTCCTCCGCATGGTCCAACAGCTTGGCGAAACGTTGCCCAAACCTTCGGCCTCGCAGGCGTACCCTAGAAGGCAGGGAGCGGCGGAGATTCGCCGTGAGCGTCTTCGATCCGCCGCCCCCCGTGATCTATCCACAGGGGTTGTTGGCGTGCCAAACTTTTGACTGGTCTCTGTTTCTGAAGGGGCCCCAGGACACACACACACACACACACACACACACATACACACAAATAACAGGATTCCCCATATTTTCCATATGTTTTGGGTGTTTGTCTTCCCCCCCACTTCCCATATTTTCCCATATTTTCTGGGGCATAAACGATTAATTGTGTCTGTGTGTTTCTCTCCCTCCTGAATTTCCCAAAAGGTTCCCAATGTCTTTGGCTCCCCATGGCAATTGGTTCAGCTCGCCGGCCACCCGAGGACAGCACACGATCCGTGTCCAGACGGCTTTCCCGCTCAAGATGGCCCCAAGGTGGCCTTCAGCATGGCCAAGATGCCCTTCAGGTTGGCCCGAAGGGGGCGAAGATGGCCTCAAAGACGGCCCAGGAATGTCCAAGAGGCCTCCAAGTCGGCACAGGAGATGCCTCCAAGACGGCCAAAGATGCCCTCCCGAAGGCCCGCGGAGCCCAGAAGACGCCCCAAGAGGGCTCCAAGAGGAATTCCAGGATGCCAATCATTGATGCTCCTGTGGTTCTTCAATAGTGTTGGCACTCTCGCCATTTAGGCTTCCGACATCCCCAAGACGGTCCCAGAAACGCCTTGGAGGGCCCGAAGACGGGCTCCAAGGGCCCCAAAGTGGCCCAAGAGACCCCAAGATGGCCCCCAAGACGGCCCCCAAGACGGCCCCACAGACCTCCAAGACGCCCCCGAAGCGCCCAAAGAGGGCTCCACGACGGCCCAGAGGGGCCTCCAAAACGGCCTCCGAAGGCCAAGAGGCCCCTTTGAGGCTCCCAGAGGCGCACAAGAGCCCCCACGAGTCAGCTCCCAGAGGCCCGAATAGCCCACAAAGAGGCCTTATAAACCTCCTCGCTCCATTTCATCCTCCTCCTCCTTTTCCTCCTCCTCCTCTTCGTCCTTTTCCTCCTCATCCGCCTCCTCCTCCTCCTCCTCCATCCCTTTTCCTTCTGAATAACTCCTCCCTGTCGCAACCCGAGACGTGTCGGTAGGGCGGGCTGGGCGTTTCGCCTGAGACTTCCTCGCCAACGGTTTCACGGATGGAGGGCGGGCCGTTTTCAAAATGTGGTTCTCGCCTGAGCGCCGCGCACATCCACCTCAAAAGCGTCAACCATGTCACAAATGGAGGGCCAGTCGTTTTCAAAATTTGGTCATCGCCTGGCCGCCGCGAACATTCGTTCGGGAAAAAATATCAGGGCTCCGCGGATGGAGGGCGGTACCTTTTTCAAAATGTGGTTCTCGCCTATGCGCCACGCACATCGTCTTCAAAAGTACGAGAGCTCCAGTACCTTTCAACATGTGATTCGTGCCTTAGCGCCGCGACCATTCGTCTAAAGAGCTTACATCAGGTTCTGGAATTCATATGGCGAACGTCCCAGACATGGTGCTTTGCCACGATGAAGGATTGTCATGGCGCAAAAGTTACGTTGATTCGCGGTACTGAAGTCCCAGACGCAGCGTTCTGGCAGGATGCAGGATCGTCAGGACGCACCAGTAGAGTTGATTCGCGGCAGTAGAATCCCAGGAATTCGCCGGCCCAACGGGCCAAGGGCGTGCTAAGATCTCCGGTACCCTGTTAACAATATTCTAGTTCGCGCGCGCGGGGCCGCCCCTGGGGGTCCCCAGACGAAAAGTACCCCGGGGGACCCCCGGGACACTCGGATCAGAGATGCCAGACCGGGCAATTTTTCGACACCCCTCACAAGGATCGTGGCCTCCGAGGGGAAGGGCGCAATCGACTTCCCCCCCTCCTGACCCAAGAGGTCCCCAACAGCCCCCCAAGAGGCTACAGGGGCCCACAAGACGCTGCCAAGGAACCCCAAGAGGCTCCCAAGAGGCCCCCAAGAGGCCTCCAAGAGACCCAAAAAATACCCCCAAGAGGCCCAAAAAAAACCCAGGACGGCACAACCTAGAAGCCCCGTGGAAACAACGATTCCCCCGACACCTCCTCAGAGGATCGCCACGAATCGACGCGAAGCTGTTCCACGGGGGCCGCTTCAACACAAACATGCCGAACACAACGGCTCAGAAAAAAAAAAGCGGGCGCCGCCCCCTGCAGCTCCGCACTGCCGACGACATCTCAGCCAGTCGACCGCGGTGCGCAATATGGGCCGGCGGAATGAGCGAAGCGATTGAATCATGTTCTGGCACGGCTCAGGATTTTCAGACCGTTGTTTTCCAACGGGGCGCCTCCTCCAGTGAAACTGAATCCTTGTAAGGGCCAATGAAAAGACAACTTGGAGGGAGGGTTTGTTGCAACATCGTTGCTCGTCCTTGGGTTTAGGGTTTAGACTGGGTTTTTGGATTTACACTGGTCCTCGTCCTCGTTTCCCTCCTCTTGTTATTCCCTTTCCTTCTCCTCCTCCTCCTCCTCCTCCTCCTCCTCCTCCTCCTCCTCCTCCTCCTCCTCCTCCTCCTCCTCCTCTTCCTCTTCCTCCTCATCCTCCCCTCTTCCTCCCAAGCGTGTTTCCCTAAGGATTTCCACAACGACTGGGGGGAACACGTAACCCAATAGCTTCGCAAGGCTTCGGCCCAACTTTTGGCAACAAGGGCATTTCCAGAAGGCGGGGGGCGGCGGTGTTTCACCGTGGGCGTCGTCGATAATAGTAGCGCCTGTCCCCGCCGACCCCACGCGCCCGCGCGAGCATGTCATCCAGCGCCATCATTTCGTACCTGAAATTCTTGGCCGTGAAATCGAGCCCTGGCACGTCGGACACGTGCACCGACACCTTTAAGTCGCCGGCGGCGCTGCCGAGATTGGGGAGCCCCAAAAGAAGGTTCTTGCCCCACCACCCCTTTGCGGAGAGAGGACGCCAAATCGAGGGAGGGCAAAAGGGAGGAGAGAGGATAATGAAAGTTTAGAAAGATGGCGGGGGAAAGGCGGAAGAGGAGCAGGAAAGGGAAGATGGAGAAGGGACGGGGGAACGGGGTGAAAGCAGGAAAAGAAAGGACAGGGAGACGAAGGAGGATGAAAGGAAGGAGGGGGGAGGATGACCGAACGACAAGAGAATCGACAGGGGGAAGAGGCGGAGGATGACGGGAAATTGGGGAAGGGAGAGGACGAGCAGGAACTTTCTCGGCGGAACCACAAGAAACGACGCCCTGCCCGCGCGCCAGAACGCGTTCCGAGCCGGCCCCTCGGAGCCCTCCCAAAAGCATTTTCCCGAAGAGCGCTTCGCGCATGGGGAAACTCCCCCGACAGAAAAACCCAAAAGGGCCCAAGGAGCCCTTTGCGAGGCCTCGGCTCTCGAAGCGGTCCCAAGCACATCCCACCATGACTTCCGGTCCACGACCCATGCACGGTGGCATGATGGGCCGAAGGCCACAAGATCCGACGCCCCCATTGTTTGCAGTGCGGCGCTCGGTGTGGCATGTTTTAGAGCACTACTTGGCCCTTGTTCGAAACGTTGCCAATGGCATTCGGCCGACCGCAGGCCACCCAGAAAATGAATCTCCCGCTGGTTCCCCCAAAGCCAATTTCAAAATGGCCCCTTCCGGGCCAAGATGGCCCAAGCTGGCCTCCAAGTCCAAACGGGTCTCCGAGGCGGGCCAAGGTGGGCCCAAGGACCTCAAAACGGCACGCAAAGCACCCGGACAGTTCCCGTTCACCCTGGCCCATTTTCAAGATCTGGGCATGGCGACGAGAGAGGAAGAGGGGGGAGGAGGAGGAGGAAGAGGAGGAGGAGGAGGAGGAGGAGGAGGAGGAGGAGCAGGAAGGGGAGGAGGAGAAAAACTAGAATTGCGTGAGTTGGTGCCGAGAAAGAAGGCACGGCGGCGATACAATGAAGTAAGCGCACCTTGTCTTCCTCCATGTAAGATGCATGCGCTCCGGTGCTTGAGCCCAGATAGCACCGGGGCATCCTATTCGAGTCGGGACTGCGCGGGCGATTGAACAGCTCAGGCGGAGCAGAGGAAACCAGAAAAAGAGAATGCTAGAACTGTCCCACCCCCGTGCACCTTCCCACTCCCCCCCGGATACAAGGCCGCCACCTGGGGGAGCGCGCGCCGGGCGGGCGGGCGCGCGTGCTCGCTGACCGCACTCAGAGGGCACGCCCGCGCTCGAGCAGCTCACATGAAAGGTACAAGATGGCCAGCCAAGCGCCGCGACTGCATGCGCGCGAGGGCCGTGCGTCGTGGTCGTGGCGACCAGCGCGCAGGCGACCGACGCCGCGCGCGGCCCGCACACTGGACGTGCAAACGGCCGCGGAAGTCGCACACGTGGGTGCACGCACACATACACACACCGCATCGTGGACTGCTGCACAGGTCCTTCCATTCTCAACTGCATCACCACCACGTCCATAGAATTCGCCGGCCCAACGGGCCAAAGGCGTGCTCAGATCTCCGGCAACTGGATAACAACATTTCTACTTCGCGCGCGCGGGGGGCGGCCCCTGGGGGTCCCCGGACGAAAAGTACCCCGGCAAGGTCACGGGCAGGTCCCGGGCAGATCCTGGGCGGTTCGACTCAGAGATGGGTTTCCTCCTGGGCGCCGCCCTCGAGGCCCTCCAGAGAGCCCCACGAAGGGCCACGAGGCCGCCAAGAGTCCCTCAAGATGGTTCAAAAATATTCCGAGATGCCACACGCTCGACTCAAGACGCCCAAGATGGCTCCCAGACGCCCCAACAAGCCCCCAAGAGGCGTCCCAAGAGGGCCCCAAGAGGCAAAACCCGTCCGATTCCTTCAGCGAAACGTATACATTTAGGATATTCGCCACTCGAGCTTTCACAACGTCAAAAGCGGCCCAAGAGACCCCCAAGATCGCCCCAATACGGCCCAAGAGGCCCCCAACAGGGCCCAAAAACCGCCCCAGAGGGCCCCAAGACGACCCAAGAGGCCTCCAAGACAGCCCAAGAGGCCCCCAAGACGGCTCCAAAAAGGGGGTCCAGACGGGAGACCCGCACGGATATTTCGAGCCCTCGGCCCCGAGAGGCCCCCAGGAGCGCCCAAGAGGCCCCAAAAGGCCCCCAAGAGGCCTTAAGATGGCTCCACGAGGCCCTCAGGAGGCCCCCAAGAGGCCCCCAAGTGGCCGGCCCCAGGAGGCCCCCCAAGTGCCCCCCCAAGCACATAAGCAAGTGCCAGCGATGCTACAATATGGGCCAGCGGAATGAGCGAAGCGAATGAATAACTGCCGCGCCACCCATCCCAGTCATAACACAGCAATGCGCACACAGTGGGCTTGTCGATCCTGGTTGACGCGAGAGCAGACATGGGACCTCCGAGCAAGAGATGAGGAAGAGGAGGGAAGTCTTGGCCAGGCAAGCGCCCGAGCGCAACACGAACTCCCACCTCGCACCTTCGCTCGAGGCTCGTTGAAGCCAGAAACTGCTTCGGCGTGCGTGCTCCAAGCAGCCAGCCGGTGGTTCAAATATGGGGTCCTGAGGGATGGGGCGTAAAGACGAGGAGCCTCAAACCGTGTAGGTCTACCCTTGGATCCCCTCCTATCCTTTTGACCCCATCCCTCAGGACCTGACGAGGAGCCTCAAACAATGTAGGTCTACCCTTGGATCCCCTCCTGTCCTCATGACCCCATCCCTCAGGACCCCATTTGTGAACCACCGAACCACAAAAACAAACAAACCGTCAGAGGCACCTCGACCACCTCGGCCCAGGCAGGCACACGTCGCACCCGGAGGCGGCTCGGAATCCCTAGGGATCCCTGGGAAGCCTTAGGAAGTATTAGGAATCCCTAGGAATCTGTAGGAATCGTCAGGAATCCCTAGGGATCCCTGGGAATCCGTGGGAATCGAGGCAAGCCCGACCAGCCAAACCAGCACACCGCCTGAGACATCCCCACAGTCTGAGCGCGAACGGACACGTGTCATGTCTCAGGGCTGAACCTCAACCGTGTGCTTCGTTTTATTGTTGTTTTCGTTTTCCCTCGTTTTGTCTTCCATCCACCTCTACCGCAAAACGAAGTCGAAACGGAAACGGCACACGAAATCGCCAAAGCACAGTTTAGGGCCAGCCCTGTCATGCCTATACGACCACCCTTCGGGTGATTGGGAGGTTGGGGGGGGTGGATGAAAAAAAACACACCTGCTGGCAAATGCGATGGGTGTGATGCTGACGATGTTGGTGACGCGCCCTCAAGTTAGCGACGACGCATAATGACGATGTTGCGCTGCGACGTAATGTCACTATCGTCCCCGATTTCGATCTCACTCGATCGATCTCACTGTCGACCTCACAGGATCGATCACACTCGTTCGATCTCACTATAGATCTCACTATGGATCTCACCAAAAATCCCCATTTCGATCTCACCATCGATCTCACCATCGGTCTCACCATCGATTCCGCTATCGATCTCAATCAACCTCACTGTCGACCTCACACTTGATCTCACTATCCATCCCATTCTAGCAATATCATTATCGATCTGACTATCGACTTCCCTATCGATACAAAAGCGGGACACTCCCGGCCACCGCCCGCCCAGTCGACGGAACACCGACGGAACACCGACGGGACACCACAGGACACCACGGCGGGACACCCTGGGCCACCGCGTGCCCACCGGGGGCGGAGGCGCGGCCCACTGCATCCGAATCGCCCTAGCGACGGCGGGGTCATTCCTCTCGCGCGCCCACGCAGCTTCGCCTCGCCCGCACGCACGGCACGCCCACGAAGCCGAAACCGATTTCCGGTGGAGGGCCCTCCGTTCCACTGCGATCTCCCCCCCAAGCTCCAACCCCCTGGCCCCCTGGCGGCTCCCCCGCGGCGTCCTCCAAGGCCGCGCCTGCTACGCAGGGTCAAAGTCAGTCTGATAATGAGTAGGTTATCAGTGGATCTGAGTGTGAGTGCGCTCGCGTTTCCATGGTAGACAAGCAGCAGTACAGACATTAGAATGTCCAAGGTTTTGCCCATTCGTTTCCAGGCTTGGTCTGTGGGTTTTCAGGGTTGGGCTCTCGGTTTCCAAGGTTTGGTTCCCACGTTTCCAGGTTGATCAGGAGTGGTATCAGCGTCCAGGGTTTCACCGTGTTTCCCAGATACGGGTTTCTACCAGGGGAGGGGGGGGGACGA